TTTCTCCAGTCTGTGCCTGTCCTGTGCTTTTCTGTCTTGCCCTCTCTCCAAGCGCAGGTAACTCCCAAGGATCCCCTGTCCTTCTCTGTTCCTTTTCTTCACCTTTTCTGTGTATGTTTGTATATTTCTTGTCACTCGCAACCTAGCTTCTGCTTGGCCTTCACAAACCAGTAGTGCACAGATGTTTCAGAATGAACTGTCTGCCACTGAAGCCAGACTATACTGCTCGGAGGCACTGACAGATTTCTTTCTTTCTTTTTTTACAATTAAACAACAATCTATAAAATTTTTATTCTTAGATACTTCAACCTATAAAAATTTAGGACAGTGTCCTTGATATTTAAAACCTGTCTTAATAAAGGTTTGAGAAAACAAACCAGAAAGGAAAAAAATCTGCTTCTTTTCAAAGAAGGAATTTTTAAAGGTAATCTGTTTTTGAAATAAACAGAATTGAAAAGACCAAGCCGAACTAAAAAAGCACACACTGAAACCATCTCGACCTGTTGTGGAGAGGGGCTGACACCGCTGCCTTCACAGCCTGGCAAAGGGTGGCACGGAAGGGCGCTGTGATTTTGCCAGCTGAGAAGAATGGTGAGAGTGCCAGGGGCCCAGCTCGGGCGAGTTCCTGACAGTTTATACTTCAGTTCAAATTCAGTCCAAGGCTTGGAAACGGCAGAACCTGGTCGCTGCACTCAGCTAATCTGTCAGGCTGCCATGTGCACGTGTCGGTGGGCGCGAGGATGGAGAACACGGTTTTCTCTGATGGACGAGACTGTCACAACCACTGCCCCTCCCCTCCCACCACCCAGGACTCAGCCCTTGTGGCCCTGTGCTGAGTGTGGGGCGCACCTCTCTCCTGAGCGGGCTGCCCAGGCCTCCTCCTTCCCGGAGTCCAGCCCCAGGGGAAGCGCACTTCGACTGCTCAGGGAGGACTGTGCCTGCAGGGCTGAACAGAAAGCCCCAGTCTACCATGTTGCTCTATTTCCTGTACGATCTCGTCGCAAACCCTTCATTTCGGCACACTGGGTCTTGGGACTATACTAGATCATTGCTGTTCCTATCGCTTGTCTCCTAGTCCCCCTACTTACAAGCTCACCCCTGGATTAGCCTCCAACAACCACAGTCCCTTCACTTTACCGTGGTCACCGCCCTTCAAGGACCCCCAGTCCTATCCCTGAGTAAGTGCTCAGCTCCTTCTATCTGTCAGTGCTTATGTCCCTTCCTACAGGTCAAGAACAACCATGGAGTCAATTCTACCTCACAGCAACCCTGCGGGACAGAGTAGAACTGTCCCTGTCAGTGTCTGAGACTGGAATCTTTACAGGAGCAGACAGCCTCAGCTTTCTCCTGCGGGATGGCTGGTGGTTTCAAACCGTTGACTTTGAGGTTAGTAGCCCAACATGTAACCCACTACACTACCAGGGCCCCTTGCCTTGACGAATGGCGTGCGCATATCTACGTGTATGTCTTTCCATAGGCCTTATGTGATAAGGCAGAAAGAGGATGGACTTTGGTATTAGAAAGACCTCAGTTTGAATTTCAGCTTTCACTTTCTAGTTTGGGTTAATGTGCAAATAATTAAGCCTCCTTGGGTTCAATTTCTTCATCTGTGGGGGAAAACACAACCACCACACCAAAATAACAACATAACTTCCCTCACAGAGCTAACCGTGTCTTCAGTGGGACAGGGTGACTAGCACAGTGCCTGGCTAAGCAGCGGCACCTCCCAACTGGTGCTGCCTTTCCTCTGTTTCCGCACAATCCACCTAGCCGGCAGGCGAAGCTTCTAGTTCTCTGATCACATCTCGAGCATCATGTCGGCGCTTTAAAAAGAAAGAAACTAGAGGACAAGTTACTAATACGAGTTAAAACCTCTAAACTGTCTGCAGCTGGTTGATGTAAGGGCAATGGCTGCCCTTGCTATGTGTAGAGTTTTGGAACAAATTTCTAAAAGGAGGTAGGGTATGTGACAGATGCTCATCTGTATGAACTTAGGAGGGGCATCAAAACATGTGTGGAAAGCATTTCCCACAAACTTTTTGCAGCCCCCTTCTACTGAGCTCGAGGTATTTTGATTACACTTGAGTTTGAACACAGGGTTTACTTAACTAGAGAACACTTTGGGCCCATCACTAGCCCTCCCTTGGTCCTGTCTGAGCCCTGGACCAAACCTTCTGATGCTTATCTCATTTAACCCTCTCGGCAGTCCGGTAAGTCGGCATCTTTTTAGTTCTGCTGATTCGAGTTCAGGAGCATGGCCACAATGACACAGCTAAGGAGAGGCGAGCCAGGACTCACAGCGGTGCATGACTCCCCAGATCAGGTGCTTTACCACGATGCTACAGAAAATCCCCTGTGTATCCAGAATGTACTCGGCAGTTCTGGGCTTAGAATTTTCTTACTGACCTGGGTTCCATCTGCTTCTGTTTTGAGAAGGTCGGTGGAGGAGAGCTGGTTGCAGTAGAGGCCTGTGTGTCTCAGTGCTGGATCATTCATCTGCAAAAGACAAACAGAAGGCCAAGTTACAAGCTAGTTATTTAACTTGAAGACCAAAATCTTGAGTGAAAACACTGTCCTTAACAGCACAGCAGAGACAAAGTGCCTAGCAGACTGCATGCTTCAGAAGGCGGGAGAGTAGAGGAGGGAGGCAGTGACTGCCGGCACGAGGAAGTTCTCTGGGATTCTTGCTCTGGATGGTGGTTCTTAGGGTTATGTGCCAAACCGAATTCATCGAGTAGATGCCGACTCTACAGAGACCCTACGGAGACCCTACGGGCCAGGGTAGAACTGCCCCTGTGGGTTTCCGAAGACTGTAAATCTTTACAGAGTAGAAAGCCTCATCTTTCTCTTGCTAAGCTGACCGTAGTTTCAAACTGCTGACCTTGTGGTTAGCAGCCCAATGTGTAAGCACTATGCCACAGAGCTCCTTCGGTATGTGCAGTTTGTGAAATTTCACTAATTTGTATATTTTTCTATAACTATTTACCCATGATATCCAATACAAAAAATTTTTTAAAGGTCACTAATTTAGTACTATTACTAAATAGTACTTCTGGTCTAGAGTAATAATACTGTACTTCTGGTTGAGATCAAATGTATCCATTTGTATGAAACAATTTAAAAAATCAACAAATTGTGAAAAACAAAGGCACTGGAGTCATCGGCTACAGTGCGCTGAAGGGCAGTGATCCTTGAGAGTGGGGAAATAACTGAGGGGAGCTCAACCACTGCCCAGCTACTGACTAGGGAGAACTTCCAGACTGCAGCACTTGGCAGGTTCCCCGAGGGGGAGAGGGCATGGCTGGAAACCTATGTTTCCAAGGCAGCAGGAACTCATAGAGAAGACAGCTCGGCACAGAGAGAAAGTTCTGGAAATTTGCAGAAGGGCTGCCTCAAGTCCTCAGCTCAGTTCTGATCAGCTTCTACATGTGAGGGAACTACCCAGAGCAGGGGAAAGAACCACTGGAAAAACCCAACGTGAAAGAACTTCCGAAGATCACATAGGCTCTGATCCCACGGGCCGGAGTGAGGCTGAACTCAACAGCCTTTCTATTTCAGATGGCATTGAGCAGCATACTTGTATACTGCCCCAGCAGTGGGGCAAAATGAACTCTAGACGAAATGCTGTTCTGGTCCTGCATAAACAAAGCATACAAGCAAGTAACTTACTCATTTTCCAGAACAGAGCTCAAGAGTATTTATAGGAATATAAACTAGGTAGAACTTACATTTCTGGAACCCAATAAAAATGACCAGGCCAAAAGAAAAGAAAAGATCAGGCATGCAAACAATGACAAAAAAATAAGACATGTAATGAAAAGTTAATAAAATTAACAGGAAGATGATATAGACAGTTGATAGATGTGGATACTTAATGAAGCCATTTTAACAACTACATGCTCCAAGTTCAAAAGCTATAGGAAAGACTGAAAGTGTTAGAGATACAGAAGGTAATTTTAAAAGATCCAAATTGAATGTTTAGAGATGAACTTCACTGTTTTTGAGACTTTAAAAAATTACACTGGATATAATCAACAGCAGATTAGACATTGCAAACAAAGATGAATGAATCTGAGAATACTGCAATAGAAACTATCCAATATGAAACCGTCTGAGACAAAATGACTAAAATAAATAAATGCCCCAGAGATTCCCTGAGCTGTGGGATAACTTTAAGTGGCTTCTACAGTATGGTCAGCGTTCTTGAAGAAAAGGTGGTGAGGCCAGAAAGAATATTTGAAGAAATAAAACTCAGCAACCAAGATGACAGGCGATACCCCATCAGAAATGCTGAGGTGAAGCAGCATCTTTAATTTAAACTGCACACCTTGGCCTCCGGAAAAGAACTTTCAGGCTTTTTCAGATACCCCCAAGCTGACAAGGAAGATGGCGGCATCAACAGACCATCCTAACCCTCTCCACGAAGACAAGAGATGCAACAAGGAAAGGGTACTTGGCTGTGAACGACTCAACCAGGCGCTGAGGCAGACAGTGAGCAGAGGCACTCCAAGAGAGTTTGTCCAGCCTCCACACGCCTTTCCCCCACATGGGCCTCCAGTGCCGTGAACTGGGGAGGTGGTTCCAGAAAAGGACGCTGCTAGCCCAATCAATCATTAAGATCCCTAAGCTTCTGCTCTAAAATCAACAAGGGAGACATCCCTGGAAGCCAGCACCTCCCCTACCAGGACACCGTCAGCTGCAGGCCTGCTGTGAATTGCACAGATAGCTGTGCAGTGGGGTCTGCTCCCATGGTCAATACACAACGTGCCTAGACACTAGACCCTAGAAAGCAACTTACAACTACACACAAAAAAGACAGATCTCAAATAAAGGGAAATGATGTACAAGTATAAGGGCTAGTTTTACGGTATTTATATTTCTAAATGTTCTGTCCTTCTTGTTCCTAAATAACAAATATAAAAAACAAGGATAGATCATGTTACAGGACACATGAAATATAAAGATGTAATTAGTGATAGCAATAAGGGGGGGGGATTGAGGAGGAATGGTATGTATTGTTTCTTGTATGTTACTGAAGTTTAGTACAACTCATTCTACATTGAAATCCACAGTCATTGAATTGATCTAGACTCATAGCAAGCCTATGTAGGGCTTCCAATTCTGTAAAACTTTATGGGAGCAGACAGCCTCAAATTTCCTGTGGAGGAGCTGGTGGGTTTGAACTGCTGACCTTAAGGTTAGCAGTCTAATGCTTACCCTGCAGCACCACCACGGCTCCTTATCCTAGAAAGTCATAAATACAAGCTGTTAAATATAACACTCACAGTTAACTACTAAGAAAAAATATTTTTAAATACATAAAAGGAAAGGAGAAAGGAATGAAAAAGGCTCACTACAATAAGCTAATGGATCATAAAATGATGCAGTACTAAAGGATTAAGATACACAAAAAATTACAAAGTAACAGAAGTATGTGACTTATTCATATATGAGTAAAATGACTGAAATGTACTAATCAGAAGACAAGGCGTGACAGAATGGATTAAAGCAAACAAGATTTCAGAGGAGATGCTTCTTTATAAGCATGCTTGTTCACAGGAGACAAACCTCAAGCCCAAGGACCCAAATAAGTTGAAAGTGAAAGGATAGAAAAATATTCCATGCAAAATGGTAATCAAGAGAGCTCAAGATGGGCACGATATAGTGATAAAAGGGCCAATTAGTAATAAAAAGATTATTTTTAAAAGTCATGCACTATGACAGGTTGGATTTATTCCAGGAATGCAGGGATGGGTAGAAATTATCAATCAAGTTCAATATACCCCCATCAGTAGGATAAAGGAAAAGAACATGTCCACCTCTATGGATGCATACAAAGCATTTGATAAAATCCAGTACCTGTTCTTGATGAAACCCTAAGAAAACTGGAATAGGCTGGAAATTCCTCAATATGATTCAGGAGATATACGAAAAGCCATGGCCAGCATTTTACTTACTGGGGAAAGATTGAGAGCAAGGAACAAAAGGGTGTCTGCTCTCATGACCTTTATCTAATATCATATTAGTCACATCTTATTTGATCCTTCTTTTGGCCGATTTAAAAGCTGTATCAGTTTAAATTGAAAAGGTGAAGGGGAAATACACATGAGGTAAGCCTTCAGTGAATCCCCTCTGAACACAGACCAGAGAAATAAGAAACGAAAGGTTTTCGTTAGGAAAAGAAGCAAAAGTATCCCTATTTGCACTTATTTCCCTGAGGTAATCTTTTAACCTTAAATAAAAAATATCCCCAAAGTCTTCTTCAAACCAAACAGTAACTGACCTGAACTAGTAAAAAATGTTTGTCTTGAGCAATGTGCTATACTTTACGGATTATCTGTCTATCGGGGATCAAACCGATCACAGCAACTCAGACGGCGGCGGCGGCGTGTGGCAGCAGATGGTGAGTTTCTACGAGGGGAGATGAGAAGGGCTGCACACCTCAGGGAATGCGGTAGGGTCATGAAGTGGCACGGGCAGGGACTGGTGACCTGGTGGGTGTGTTTCTGTTTAAATTCTCCACGGCAACAACAAATAAGCGGCCGTTTAAAGGACAAGTAACAGCAATGTCCTGTGGAGTTTGCCACATATTCATAATATGTGTGATGAAAGTGCAAAGGCCAGTAGGGATAAACGCAAATACCAAGTCTTGAAGTTCTTATCCATATATGAGATGACAATTAGATTAGATATAAATGGATTAAATATTTCTACTAAAAAGCAGAGATTGTCAGACTCAACTGTGCATGAAACCAATTTAAAATGTATTATTTTATCTAATTCAGTATATTTTTCATTATTTTGCTTTAATCAAATATAGTAAATAATTTTAATAACTGCCTAACAAGCATGCTCTTAGTTATTTTATCTTTCTAGAAAATGTAGATCACTGCTATTTTATGCTAGGCTTAATATGTAATATTGGGAAGCAGAGATGACTTTAATTGTAATTCACATCAAAAAGAATTCCCTCTGACCACAGTCGAGGTATGTGAACAGCCTTGTTGTCAGACAGAGAGGATTATAGTACATATATATTTTTCGTTAAATGTAACATCTTATTTGATCCTCCTTTTGGCCCATTTAAAAGCTGCAACAGTGTACATTTGAAAGGTGAGGGGAAGTGCACCTGCAGTAAGCCCCCAGTGAATCCCCTGGGAACACGGACCAGGGAGGTGAGCAGCTCTGATTTCATGCAGACTGCGTCGGAAAGTGGGTTATGGCAGATCTCCCTTTGACCCGTTTTAAATTTGTTCTAGTTTTTGATAGTTTCTGGTTTTTGTTTTTCTGATTGGGGCTGTTCTCTTTTTTGCTACTGTTGTTAGCTTTGTCTTGTTTTTGTGTTTTTCGTTGTATGAAACTCAGGATGAGCGAATCTACAAAGATGGTAACAATTCATGGTTTCTTTTTTTAAATCGTTTTATGGGGGCTCATAAAACTCATCACAATCCATACACTCATCAATTGTGTAAAGCACACTTGTACATTCGTTGCCCAATTAATGGTTTCTTGAGGGCATGGCAGGGGAGGTTGTGGGGAAATAAGGAGCTAATAACAAGGAATACAAGAGAAGAAAAATGTTCTAAAATTTATTGTGGTAATGACTGCACATCTCTTCTTGATACAATTGAACGATTGAATGATACGTGGATTATGTCTCAATAAAACTGTTAAAAAAAGTTAGTCTCAAAAACCGCCACGGGGCAGTTAAAATTCTGTCCTATAGGGTCACCGTGAGTTGGCATCAACTCCATGACAGTGAGTTTTGGTTTGGTCTCTATCAAGTGGAATAACAATGTTTGCAAGTTCTTTAATCTCTGGAATAATTTTCACTCCTAATTGAAATGTTATCCCAATTTGAAAACTGCATCTTGAATAAACCTCAATCAATTAAAAAAAACCTACAGGAGATAAGTTTTTATATATTATAATACTTGCTATAAATTATGACTAATTACAATAGGTAACTTGAGATTGCTAATCTTTGAATAGTAATTACTGGTAGTTTACGCTAACAATTTCCTTAAAATGTCATTTTTAATTTAGTCATTCTCTCCTAGAATAAACTTAACTTAGCTGGCATGTAATACCTTAAAAAAGCTTACCTCATCTTCTGCTTTAAACATATAATATCCTCTTAAAATCGATTAGGTTTTTCAGCCTCAATTCCTGCCTAGCTCACACTAAGTCTTGAGTGCTCTTTTTCCTTTAGGCAAAATTCCCAGGAAGGCTTCCCTGACCTGGCCCTTTCCTCTTTAAGTCCTTAGTAGTTTGCATATGATTCTGGGGGGTGGGGGTGGGGGTGTCCATCTCTTATACAGAGGTGCTCTCTTATTATGAAACTGATCTTCTGTTCATGTTGTGCCTCCCCACCTTGTTAACATGTATCTCCTCAGAGCTATCTTTATACACAGTACACACTTCATAAATATTTGTTAACTGAAAGGGAGAAACGTGGAAAATGTGTTAAAAATAAAAAGGGGTCGATTTGAAGCCATGTATCCAAACCCACTGTCGTTTTAGTAGGCCCAACTCACAGCAGCCTCTAGGACAGTCTGTCCATCGTTCCTGGAGGAGATGCCCTTCTCTTTCTCCCTTCAAGTGGACAGTGGGTTTAAACTGCTAACTTTGTGGCTAGCAGCCCAACAAAGTCCATATAATGTTTCGTTCTGAGCCAATGTTTATACGAAGGTAAATAAAAAATTATTGCTATTAAAATGTCAGTCCATACACGTGTGGGTTTATTCCATACAAAATTTAATTTAACATGTTTGCAATGAGTAGATGGCCGCAGACAAGTTCTCTCAGTAATACACTTGCCTTAGTGCCCCACCTCCCGCCCCTTAGGGTGTGCTCCAAAAGAGGTCCAATCAGAACCGGAGCATCCCAGGGGCCACACAGGTCAACTCAGAAGGTTAGTGACTGGATTTTGAGTCCACGTGTGTTACCTTGACAGGACAACCATGCAGGTTTATTCTGAAAAAGTTTTAAGAAAAACAGGAAACTGTACTGGTGAGGAAAAGGCCAGGAGAGATGTCCTGATGAATTTTCCCCCCATTTTGACAATCCACCTGCACATTCTTTGAGGGTCCACTTGCACATGGTCTCTCCGAGGAGAATTTCGTTACCCTACCCACCGTACCGTTCTGATTTTGGCTTTCTGACTTCTTTCGGTTTCCCAAACTCTAATCATATTTTAAATGAACATGATTTGAGTCCTGTGAGGATGCCAAGACTGCTGTTTCAATTGGTATAAAATCAAAGAGTACAGGATTCTTTGAGAAAGGCTTAGAGAGATGGAGATACTGCCTTTAGAAGTACACAAACTATAAGCACACACTCCTAGATGGGGGATGTGTTGAGTAGCAAAAGCGTCATAGTTTGATAAATTTGCTCAATAAAAATGATTTGATAGTGAAACTTTCTGACCTACCTTCATATATATATATGAATTCTGAAACCCTAAAATCAGATTAAGACTACAATCTTAAAATGCCTGCCAACATTGCAGTTGTTTCTCTCAAAGGCCATTAGTTACAAAAAGATGACAGGAAAGAATGAAGAATCATGGTCATCTTTGAAAAGTAATGCTCCACATGCTTGTTTCCTTATAATAGTGAGACATGTTCACAGTGTGTGTGCGTGTGTGTTATGTGCAGGAGGGTGCAGCTGTGTCACGTACCTGCTCAGGGCAAACGGTGTTCATTCCTTGCATCTGCAACGAGCTCATCTGCATCGGGCCCATCATGGGGTTCATGTTCTGAACGTTTGTGTTCCCACCTGCCATGGACACGGTGATGCTCATATTGTTGTACACTCCTGGCTGTGCAGGTGCGGGCTGGTTCTGGACAGCTTGACTGAACACACTGTTAACTCAAAAATAATATAGATTACACCCACTGGCCATGAACACCAGGACAATGTAACATGGCTCTGACTCATCATTTTAAAATGGAATTCCAAATGAAATATTTTACGTTCTCCAGTTACGTGTATGATTGCATCTTTTAACAATAAGTGAGGATTTAATATAATCCAGTTACATTTAGAACTTTGTCCAAAGGGTCTCTAGTAATTAGAAAGTGTTCCTGATAAGTTACAATGATCTGGTCTAATACCAGAGATATTATGCTCCAATTATCTAAATCATTAAAGGAGGAAGTAGGCCATAGATGCAGATCTTCAAGATAACCAACGTTTACCCAGTTAAACAGATAGCATCCTATGTCAACAAAGTATATGGCGCATATATGTATTTAAATAATCAAATACAGTGAACCCTCGCCACTTCGCGCTTTGACTTCCGCGGCTTCACTCTATTGCGGTTTTTGCGTAACAGCACCCACTCACTGCCTACACCCGCTCCTTCAGAGGAAAAAGACGGCGACCCACCTGTAGAGTACATCCCTTAAGTCATTTCATAGGCTATTGATTACAGTATTTGTAAGAACTATGTATAATAATACTGTATGTGAAATATGTAATACTGTAAACTAGATGCCATAAATAATATAATAAATAATAAATGATAATTGTAACGTCCAAAATGTTTTACTGTATTTTCCCTTTTTCATTTAATAAATTGGGTAATACGAGTGTAATGGTGACTAAAGAGTGTTTTTTCATGTCCTCTATACTCTAACTACGAAAATATTTGATTTACAAATAAGGAATCCTACTTCGCGTAATTTCATTTATCACAGTAGGGTCTAGAACCGATTAACCGCGATAAACGAGGGTTCACTGTATATCTCACACACACACACACACACACACACACACCCCATCAGTAAAGGGACGAGTGATTTATGGATAGCAGTCTTACATCACGACTGCTTGGATATTTTCTTAGACTTAACAACGTGATTGAATGTCAGTATCCTGTTCTATTCAGTCCTCGCTTCTACTAGTAAGTGGCATAGGATATAGCAAGCACGCAGTAGTTCCCTGATGAATGAAGGACAGTGACTTGTGAGCAGATTACAGCAGTGCTGCCAATTGATGAGGTTCAGATTGTTTTAATTTACAGGTTTTTCTGCATTTATGCCAGTGCTTTTTAAGTATAGTCCAGAGACTACAAGTGTCCCCTAGGGAGCCAGCTGAAAATTGTTCCTCCTGGGCCTCACCCCAGCCCTAGTGAGTGGGGCTAACTGGGAGTAGATGCAGTAAGATATTTACGCAAAATGGAGTGTGGGGAGCCTTTACTCCATGTCCTACAGCTTGCTGTTGCTTTTCAGGCTTAGTTTTTGGCTGCTTTCACTAAATGACGAAGAAGTCTGGTGCAGACAGCCAGATGTTTTCACCTGGCAAATTTACTGTTTGGAACGACCACAGAGGTCCCCACCTTTGTGAAGGTAGCTCCATGCCTGTTCCAGGAAGGAAATGCGGGGGGAGGAGAGGGGAATGGATAGTTCTGCCCCAGAGGGAGCGTGTTTCCTCTTCCACAGCCAGTCCTAGGCTGTGGCGACACCAAAGATCTTAAATTGGTTTCTATTAGTAGGGACAACAGTACGGAATAAACTAGAAGTAAATTCAGCTAGAAACATCATCTTTAGGGCCCCATCTCCACCGGAGCCCTACCTAATCTGTGATCTGGATATGCACATTCAGAGAAAAAGGATACCAACTGTACCTTTCACAGGTTGTAAACAACAACACATTAGTTTTAGGATGATCTATCGAGAATTGAACAATAAGATGCTGGTAAAATTCCACCTATTTTAAAGCCAATCCTAGAGAGTCGGATATGAAAGCATACTGGCTCATCTAGTCCTTGTCAGCTCTCAGGTGGGCAGCAGAAGGTAGATTTCTAGCCTCTGGTAGATCAAGGCAATCACACTGAACCTAACAAACTGAGAAATAGCCCATTCATCATGTCTGAATAAAAAAGCACACTCCCCTCCAGGTAATTATGAAACACAAATGCTCACAGAAAATTACGTGGGCTTGGGAAATGGTGAATCACGCTTCTGTGGGCCACAAACGTCCGCACAATGTGCACACTAGGCAGCACAGCCGGGGGCAGAAAAGGTCTCTATGTCTACTGCTCGTTTCCTAACGAGAACATCTCCGCCTCAGACAATGCTCACTTGTCAACGCATACATCCATCAGCCGTGGAGGAGCAGTGGGCCAGGGCAGCTAATGCCTGCAGAGGGTCACAACCTGCAGTGACAACGCCTCACTGATTTAAAAAAGCTTAGGGCTTAATTTCCTTTCTGATTTATACTGATATTAACTTAAGTTCTTTCAAACATCTTCTGCCAGTAATGCCACTTTACACACTTCATCAGGAAACACTTGCCATCTCAATCTCTGTGCCAGCTCCCAGAAAGGGCGGCTGGGGCCATGGACCCGCACACTCACTGCTCGCTCCTGCCCTCTCTTGGTCGCCTGCCTGTAACATCAGGTGTTTGGCAGTTCCTAAATCTAAACGGGGTAGCGGGGAGGTGAGACTGGCTCGAGGTGGATTCCCTAGATATTATAGGTACTAACAAGTGGGGAGGAGTCCCTGGTCCAATACATCTGAGAAACAAAGGATTAAACAGCGGGGTTTCTTGGCTGATAAGCGCTAATAAGCACTGGGACGCTCCCCTGAGACTAGCGATGCACACAAACACGGCCCTCTCCATGACAAATAGGTTTGGTTTAATCCTTTATTTTTCTTGCCACCATAGAGATAATGGAAACGAACCGCATTACACTGTCTCTGAGCTCATTACATCATTATACTTAATGATTCTCTAATCATTTCATGTTTCCGTCCTCTCTCACCTAGCGACAGAACCCTCCCACCCACCATGATTACTGACTAGGCTCCGGCTGGCTTGAGGCAGAGGCTTTCCTTGTGGGGCCGGCACTGTAGACAGACAGCAAGTCGTCACAATGCCCGCTGCTGCCCACGGACCAAGGAAGCACCTGTGGGTGTCTGAAGAGGGCGTGACAATTACCCAAGTCCAGCTGAACCCAAACCCAAGAAGGGTAGTGACTTAGGAACAGGGGGCCTTTGCACTCATTATAGTAAGTGTCTACATGTTCTAGAGGGCGCCGAAACAGACGGAAACAAAAACTCAGGCCTTGCTTTTATGATACTTGTGTGTTCTAGTTGGGGAGATGGACCGCACTAAGCAGACTAGCATGCGGTGGGCCAGGTGCTGAGCACTGTGAAGAAAACGCAAGCAGGGGAAAGGGGGCGGGGGCGGTGTGGGGAATGACGCTGTTTTAGAAATCAAGGTCAAGAAAGGTGACATTTAAGGAAAGGCTAGAAACGTGAGAGAGCAAACCGTGTGGCGGTGTGCAGGGAGGGCCTCTAGCAGAAGGGCGGAAAAACATAAAGGCTCTGCGTGTGTGATGTACTTGGAACCTGGGGAACAGAAGACGACAGGGAAGCCAGTGCGGCAGAGTAATGGGGAGAGTAGCATACGAGGCAGGAGAGCAGGGCTCCGACCCACTTCAAAATAGCTCAGTCAAGGCCAATGGAAGTAACAGCAGCATACAAGTTGCATAGCAACCAAATCTCCTAACTTGAGTAGTTACTAGGCAGTGGTGCCCCACTCAAATCAAGTGGCTCACTGAAAGCTTTGGATGCCCGTTCAATATCAAAACCACCACCACAAACTCACTGCCATCGAGTCAGCACGGCAACCTTACAGGACAAGGTAGAATTGCTCCCGTGGGTTTCCAAGACTATAACTTTTGAAGGAAGTTGAACGCTCCATCTTTCTCCCTTGGAGCGACTGGTGATTTCAAACTGTTACCCTTGCAGATTGCATCCCAGTGTGTACCCACAACACCCCCAGGGCCCCGGGTGAGTACTGAGACGAAAATCTGACACACGAGATTTAGTTGCTACACAACAAAAATGCTACCCTTTTTTTCTGTTGGCCATTACTGAACTATTCTGAAGACTTTTCAGAGAGGTCACCACAGGCAAGATCATTTAGAGCCTTATGTTGTATTTTGAATTAGTTGTGGAAAAAAGCTTTGACTGACATGCTGCCTTAAGTGTTAAAAGTATCACTTAAGCTCCCGCGTGGCTATGAGACCACTGTGAAGTAAGGATGGGAGCAGGGGGCCAGGGGGGCTCTCGCAACCATTAAGCAGAAAGATCACGGTGGCCTGCACAAAGTGTGCAAGTAGAGCAGGGAGAATGGGGAGCTCACCAGAAACTGGCCGAGACTTCACACTGGTTCAGCCATGCTGACACAGCGAAGTAAGACGGCTCACATTTGTACACTGTGACTACTCTGGATGTGTACCAGGATGGGAACAAGGGAGGCTGAAGTCCTAGATGGGAGAGGAGGCACAGTGAGCTGTCCAGGAGTCCAGCTGAGAGACTGGATGACGGCCAGGGCTGGAGAGTGCGACACACTCAAGGCAGTGGAGTCAGCTTCTATCTTTGAGCCAGGCACCGATGTTACTGCCTCTGCCAGTCAAGAGATTTGGTTGCTATGCAACATGCACACAGCCCCTATATTCTAAGAGGGGGATTCAGTTTTTAGCAGAGTGTTGATCCTTAATTTCCCCCCCTACTAGTTTTCATTCCGGTACATCGCATTTTACAAACTCACGTCCATTCCAGTTTTGCTTCATTGGCCATGAAGGCCTGAAGCTGCCATGATGTGTTGAGGGCTGGAAGTGGGGTATGGGACCAAGGGAGGGTTTTCCTTCTGAGTCACTGGAGGATCCAAGTTGCCCTTTACTGAGATGGGAAAAGTAGAAGAGTGGGTTTGGGAGAGAATATCACTTTAGTGTAGGTCAGGTTAAGCTTGAGATGCCCATTACACTTCTGAGTGGAGCTGTCCATTAGGCCGTTGGGCATACAATATGGTGTTCAGGGGACGTTTGGACTAGAGCTTTAAACCAAGGCTTTGTAAGTATGGAGATAGACATTAAATACGTAAGATTTGATGATTTAAGATAGCAGACAAATATAGATACCAGGGAGCTAGGGAACACCCTGCAAAGGAAACTAAGAGGCAGGAGATTAGACAAGAGCTCCTTATCTGCAATGACAAAGTTGCCTCAATAGGAAAGAGCTGAAGAATCAGTGCTTCCATCTGTCAAATTCTGTTTATGATCATCGCAGGTGGCATGGCAGTGAAGGTTAATGACCTTGACAAGAATACTTGGTGGACTTGGTGGGATGGACGCCTCCGTGGTTGAAAAGGAACGATAGAAGTAGGTAAAGGACAGTCTCTCAGGAGATTTAACTGAGAGGAAGTGGCGGAGAAAAAGTCTAATGTAGTCTGTCAGCCTGACTTCTTCTGAAGTCACATTTCAACACTGAAGTGCAGGTCTCGGGCAAGCCCTGAGCGCCGTTTGACAGGGAGTGTTGCTCGGGTGAGGAGTCTGCAGCGCCTGTCAGGTAGTAATCAGATCAACGGGCCACGGCCTCCAAAGTGCGTCTGGGAAGTGGGGATCAGAAGACATTAGGAGACGCTATTCCTCTCACAGTGCAGAGGCAGTTCCATCTCCACCTCATTTGCATCGTCTCTCCGCCGTGCTGCACCGTTCTCTACCAGGAAGATTTCCTCTCTCACCTTTCAATGAACTTTCAGAGAACACAGTCTTAAGTTTTTAACTTTCACTGCCTTACTTATTATGTTGTCAGATCAAACAGCTTCCCTGTCACTAGAACTGAGAGAAACCAAATTAAAACCTTTAGACAACTCAAGTGATGTGTGAAAAGTTCAGCAGCCAAGTTTGGTTTGTTTTTTCTACTTCTGGGGGGTGGGGTGAGGGGTGGGAAAGGGGGTGACTTTAGTGAGATCATTGTAAACAAAATGGGCAAAATGCGGCCACTGATGATTGAGACTAACCTGAGGAGCCTTAAGACCTTGCTATGAAATCTTCCCCACACATCAAACAGTGAAAACTACATTCTGGTTCTATACAGGATTCTCGCATTGCTGTTCATACTTTAAGTGCTCTCTGAAAGAAAGACTTCCACTGTTGCTCCAGGGGCTCTCTGCTACTGAGGGCAGTTGGGTAAAATCACTGGAAGTCACTCGACCACTTTCTCTACTGAAAACACAAAGATTTGCCTTAAAAACGAATTCATGTGAAAATGACTGAAAAGTCATTTTTCCTCTACATTATGGTTTCTCATACTATGCAGGTGACGGTAGCCCATCCTCTTTTACTTGGACTGTGGAGAAACACTCAAACCAGGGAAGGCATGGTTGCCAGGCACTGCAGTGCAGCAGCGATGCTCTTGCGGAAAACGGGCCCTTACTTGTTGTTTCCCATCGCTCCTTGCTGCCAGGCCTTCATGTCTGGTGACTGGTAGCCAGAAGTGGGCGGAGCTTGCTGGAGCAGAGAGCTCTGAGGCGGCGGGATTGGCATGGGCACCATGGAGCTCCCGGGGCTGAGAGATGGAGCAAAGTTGGCCTCACCTTGGGAAACCATCCCTGCAAATAGACACAAATGAACTTATGTGGACATACTGCAGATTTACTAAACCCCCGAGAGAAAAACTCCAGAGATGGGTAATATACTTAGACAGATAGCCTAGTCAAGAGAGTGAGGTGGAAATGGGGGTCTTTAGAAATAAGGCAGAAGATGTTTGTTTAAACAGATAAATATGTAAGTATAAATGGGTATATACATAAATAGACATTTAACATTATCTGTATAAACAGACAAATACATAACTAGACATTCAACATGAGCCCGAGTTTAAAACAGATCATCCGATACCAGTTTGGGTGGCAGAATGATATATAATTTTCCCTGTTCTTTTTTTGCTGGCATGAATTTTGAAATTAAGAAACAAATTAAAACATAGAAATATCTACAGATTTGTGTAGTAAACAGTTAGTGTCTTGGAGACCCAGAGGCAGTTCTACCCTGTTCTATATGGTCTCCGTGAGTCAGAATAAACCCGACAGCAGTGAGTTTGTTGTGCGTGTAGTAAAAGTAATTAGTATTAGATGTAAAAATAAAAATGAGAATGCTTTCTTGAAGCCACTTGTCCTTCATGATGTAACATGAATTCTTCTTCCCTTCCTGCCCTTAAATTAAAAAATAAGAAAAAACCCCAGCTTTATTGCGACACCATATCAATCACACAGCATGAAATTCAGCCCGACGCAGAGTTCCGCGACTTTCAGTCAATGTCAGAGCTCAGTAACCATCGGCACGATCCCGTTTAGACATCGTCATCGTCCCCACAGCTCCCAGTGTCTACGGACAGGCAATCCTGCTCCCACCTCGACCCCGGACAATCACTCTTCCTCTGTCTCTAGGGGGTTGCCTTTTCTGGAAATTTCACACAAATGAAATCGTATGCTGTCTTTCCTCTCTTCATTCACTTAGCATGTTTCCAAGGTCCAACCATATATCAGTACTTTGATCCTTTTTATTTGCAGCTTGCAATTGACCCTAAATGTAAGGGTCTCTTTCTGTACTTTTTATTGTTTCCGTGATCCTGCGTATGCCTGTGACGGTACCAAAACCACAATGTCTTGAACACTCAGGATAGACTTGAAACTAGTGCTCATCCAGTTTTTCCTTTTCAGAAGTGTTTCGGTCACTCTGGGTCCTGTGATTTCCATATAAATTTTAGGATAAGCTTACCCTAAAAAGCATACTTAGACTTGAAAAGAGCTTGTGTTGAATTTGCAAGATCAATTTGCAGCAAACTAACCATTCTAAGTCTTGTTCATTTCTGATTTAATTTTTGATAGTTTCCCTTCTTATATCTTCAGGTGTCATTAGTTTATTTTCCCTTCTATAATGTCTACTCTTCAGTTACTCCGTTGCTGTATTTCATATTTTTCCTCTGTAGAAGTTTGACTAAGTCTTTATTTATAGGAAGGTGCTTCACAAAGTTCATGGAAAAATAGAAATAAGTCGTATTACGATCTTTCCATGAACTTCTGAAGCTCCCTTATATCCTTCATGTCTCTGCTTAAGATGCTCAAGCTTCCCTCTAGCTTCTTGGACATACAAAATAAATGGACAGTTTATAATTGTTTTACTGTCTATCTACAAGTCCTATTAACTGAGTAATTCCTGGGGTGGTCTTTAACTGACTTAATTTTCTCATTACGAGTTATATTTTTCTGGCTTCTTTGCATGCATGATAAATTTTTTAGAATGACTTCCTATGTTTCATTAATCTGGCCAGAGATATAGTTTATTTACTTATTTTTAAATTATGATTGTTTTTAAATTTTAAAAACATTTTGTGAATGTTGAGCCAACTGTAGACTTTCTAAGAGCTTCTTCTTTTTCACTTATTAGTTACACTATATGCTTAACTAGTTTTCACTCTGGTGCAGCATATAAATCAAGCTACAAATGTTCTCCTGCTGCTCCTTTAGCACATGAGCTAATCTCTGGTAAATAACTTGTCTGGAGTCCTGGTTGGCAGCTGGATCTCCCAGCTGCTCTCTGGGAGAAAGACGGATGGTCTGCCCCATATAGATGACAGCACTGGCAACTTTAGAGGCGGTTCAGTTCTGTCCTGTGTAGGGTCACTCCAACTTGGGATCTATTTGATAACAATGGGTTATTTTGTTTAAATGACTTTGATTATCTGGAGAACTATATATTATTTATGTTAATGACGGTTGAGGGACATCATTTTTATATAAATTGTATTTTCATTCATTCTACATTTTAACAATTTTGGATTTGATCCTTAAAAAACATTTGTCTCTTATTAATTCACTTTGACCTTATGTTTTATGAAGTTTCAGAAACAGTAAACATGAAGGGAATGCTCATTATGTTCCAGCTATTACTCCACGTGCTCAAAGTTAAGTCAGAAACCCCAAGCACATCGGCACAATTCCCTGCCTTTCTCTCTGGCCTCATCAGACATTAAACACTCAGGCTTCTGTACCCAATGACCTGGCTTTAGCAGAAAGAAGAAACGCACAGGTAATGAATTGGAAGGGTAGAGTGTGGATCTAATCCTGCCATTACATTAGACCTGGGGTTCCGTGGACAATGCAATCTAGTTCCTTCTAGCTTAAAAAGTCTACAATCCTACCTTTGTCTGGACATGGTTTAAGTCTCCATGCTGGACTGTAACGAGCATCACAGGCATGTGGAAGCAGCAACTGAAATTTGGATTTGGTTTTCATTTATTTACATCTTGAACATCTACTCTCCTGTGTTAAACACCTGAGTAACAAAAATGTGAAAGGCCACAATGTGCTCCCTCAAAGAAATTGTTATTGAGCAAGAAGAACAGAAAGGTGAGTGCTTAGGATAGGGAGTGTCTGGCGAGGCTTTCCAGAGGAGACTCTCCTCTGGAAGGAGAAAGTAACAAGAATGAGGCAGGTGAAGGAACAATACTTTAGACAGAGGATATGGGATGTTCATAGGCTTCAATATGAAGGACGACAAGGTATGTGCTCTTTCTTGAAACCTGAGAAGGCTGTTAAGAGCAAAGGCTAAAACGGTTGAATTAATGAGTCTAGCTTTGGAAAAAATTGAGTTTGGGGTGCAAGTGAGTATGTGTTCACATGAGCTAAGCAGGCAACTGTACAGAGGCCCGGACATAGAGAAAAAGGGCAATTAACATGTACAGGTCACTCAGGAGTGGGCAGAATAGCTTGTTTACTGTACTTCAGTTGTCTCCAGATGGACTTCAAGGAACCCGTGAAACACAACTTTTGTCTAAAAATCTTCTTTCATATTTATTTTGAATAAGGTAATTTAAAACAATATGCAATTGGTTCCTTGTGTACTCATCATCATGAAATAAAATATCTCTGCCAGTATTAATACCTACACATTCCTGAGAGGTGCCAAAGAAAAAGAATGCCAAGCAAAGTTACTAGTCAACCTTTGATTTTACTGTAATCCAGAAAAACGAGGAACAGCAAACATTTTCTGACAAGGTTTAGATAGTAAATATTTTAGATTTTGTGGGTCATAAGGGCACTCCAACAACCGATCAACTCTGCAGTGCAAAACCAGCATATATTATATGTAAACAAACAAGCACTCCTGGGTCCTAGAAAACTTTATTTACAAAAACAAGAATTGCCCTGGATTATGCCTGAACCAGAGTTTCTGGACCCCTGAATTATGTTGGGGTGCACTTCTTTTAGTTCTTGTGTGGCAAATGCACTGGTAGGTACTCATCATGAAATAATCCATCCTCTGCCAGTACTATCATCTCTACATTCCTTCATTTCCTTTGGGCCTATATTAAGGTGAGCAATATGACGCTTCTGTCATCTTTATAAAGAATGTAAGTAAGGCAAAGTTAATATATTCATCCTTTCCTCTTACTGTTATCAAACAACACCTAAAACCAACAAAGCAGGAAACAAAGAGCAAAGAACTCTCATATCTAGATTTCTTTCAGATAAAGTAAATCACTTTGTTTCTTTGTTTTTCTAAGAAGGTTTGATTTTAAAAGGTAGAACTTGTCTCAAATTTGAATTTCCATCACATAAAACCTGGTCTCCAATCCTTCTACCAGGCTGCTCATCATGTTGGAATAAGTTTGTGGGTTAGAGTGATGAAACAAATGGAAACTGTACCTTTAAGTGTTCTTATCCTCTCCAGAACAGCTAACAGCTGCTCCCCACCCCCATCCCCAACCATTATTTTGAGGCAATTATCAGAAGAACTGAAAGCCGTGTCACTTCACATCAGTGTGTAACTAGCTGAAATTACTGCATGAGAGAGAGCTCATGCGACCCAGCTGCTAACTTCTGTCTGTAATGTGAATGCTGACTATTTCTGATTTTGTGAGAATCATTTGGGTCTGTCAAGAGTTGGAAGGGAAGTGCAATCTAATGCCATGCCTTTCTTCCAGAGTGGATGGGTTGGAACAAAGGGCCAACCATTGCACCAACCACTGACCACTGCTGTCAGGTGCTGTCTATCCCAGGTTCAACTTCAGAAGCGGCACGTGACAGGAGGCCTGCCCCGTAGGGTTTGGGGCTGCCGTCTGTGTGGGACTGCTGGCTGGCTTGGAACCACGAATGTTTCCATTGGTTGCTGTGTACTTCAGTGTTGTGCCAACAGGGCCCATTACCTTGCCATTAAACAAAGTCACACCAAACTCACTGCCATCGAGCCGATGCCGACATATTCCCGGTTAAAAGTCACACTGAGCACAGGAGAAACGGCAAGGAGAGTGGATGCTGACTCGAATGAAATTCAGGCTGCGGGAACCGAAGAGAAACGTGAAACCAGGAAGAAACTGTGCGTGGCGACTTCTACCTTGTCTGATTATAGGTCATTAGGAGGCCTTGTTCTTCCTCATTTCTATAGACTTACTGCGTTTCGTGGGCCCAGTTTCCTTACTGAAAGCACTTAGCCATTTTATTTAAATGAATAAAATGCAAGTACAGGCAGTTAATGTTTTTTCATTATGCTTTCCTACATTTTCCAAATTACCGCTAATGAACATGCCATTTTCCAAATTACTTCTAATGAACATGGCATTATCACTACAAATTGGAAAAGCCTACAAACACCACTAGAAAAGGAAGAATCAGAGATCCAGGATCCACTGTCAAGCAAATTATCACTTAAAAAAATTAGAAGTAAAATAATGAGGGAAGCACCTAATTCACATAACGATAGCAGCGAACAGGACTGCAGACAAGAGAGTATGTCTTATTTCATGGAAAGAAAGACCCAGGTGAGAGATGTTGATGGGTGGCAACATTTGGTTATGTATCTTTCGCTACACTGGGCTCTTTATTGACAGGGACAATGGTCCATGTCCAAGTCCAGAGATCAAAGACTAGACCCAGAACCTTGAAAGAAATCTCAATTTCATCAAAATCAGCCAGAAGCATTCTTTCCATGTGGTTTCATAAGGACTGGGAGCAGAAAAGGAACCTCTTTCCCATTTTTGGCTTTCTGGAGAACAGATTTAAAGTACGTGACTGAGATTTGACAAGAGTGCTTAAGATATTTTTTTCATTGGCTGACGCTCAGGGGGTCACCAGGCCTTTTGTCCTATTCTGTCTCAGTCTAGAAGCCCCTCTGAAACCTGGTCAGCATCATAGCGTCCACTGACAGAAAGACACTGTGCATAAAGCTCCCTGGCTGGGACTCTAGCTCATTTCCCATAGAGAGTGAGCATTCACCACAGAATCACCAGTACCTTTAAAAGAAAGAAAAACTCCAAAACTAGTTTGATGAGATTTATTAACATTTGATACCCATTCAGTCTCTCTCTCCCCCCATAAATGGGAGGAATCTTTTCATTTAAGGCTCTGCAATTAGTATCAACGAATGCTACTAAATTTCTACTGTGGTCAAGCTGTCATTTTGGTAGAGAAATTGGGAAGCAGATAACTATACCAATCGCCTATTGTTAGAGGAATTATTTCTTCAGGCTCGAGTAGAAAAGTCTTGTCAAATCCTTTGCATGCAGAAATCAACACGCATGGATATATAACTCTTTTTGAGGCCACTCTTATACAGACAATCTTAGAATTAAAATGGAGTTATAATCCTTTTCTTGCTGACACAGATAGTGTCAGTAATGTAACCAGCCAAAGATGACTTCATTGTCTTGAGGACAAAGGAACTAATATGGTATAATTTTGATTAAAACATTTTAGAGAACTCCGGGGCTCTCTGACACAAGCATCCCTAGATACCTAATTTAGCAGTCAAGGGATTTTAGCACTTGTTGCTATCAGAATGAAATGTCGAGATTGATTAGGTTGTCAAAGTTGATAAGCATATTGCCATGTCAAAAATCTCTACATTACTTCAAATTTTTACTCAAGTCAAATTTCAGTCTTTCTCATTGAAGTTCACTTTTAAGCAGCCCTGAAATTTATTTTCTATTTCATTTATACAATTAAGGGATTTAGTTCAGGAACTGGTCATTAATCTTCCACAGGAGTTTGATTAGACAGGGTAGATTAGTCACATGTGTTTTATTACCTCTGCTTATTAGAATCTCCATACAAAAAAAGAAAAATGCCATTTTTAAAAGCCGTATCATTTAGGACAAAGAGAATGGAAGAGAGAATGCAGATGCAAAATTGGGAACAAAATACAAACTTCTGGAAGACAGGAAGAGAAGTGATTTTGCAAGGAAAGCTACACACGATGGAGTAAGAGTGGTGGCACCAACGGGGAGTGGTGGGGTACTGTTCTTGGGGAAGATGATGATCCTGACAGGAGCAAACAAAGACAACCTACAGGCCAGTGAAGAAGTGTTTATGTGTGCCCCTCTGTGCATTAGACTGGCACAGAGATACCTGACAGAAGAAGAGGAGACTGTGTTGTGGCTAGTTGCCTCTAGTTAATAGGAAATTCCAGCGATTCCATGGTGGGCTCCACCGGGCTTTCCAGGCAGTGAGCTTTCAGAAGTCTGGCTTATCTCTGAAGCACCTTTGGTTGGGTTTGAACTGCCAGCCTTCTGGTGAGTAGTTTGAGTGCTTATTGTAAAATTTTAGGGCCAGATGGGCCATTATGGGTCATCAAATGCAATCACGGCTACCGTCTAAGAGGGAGAAGCTTCAACTCACTCTTCCATTCAGGGTTCCTGGATTACCTGACACCACCTCCTTCCCAACCCCCTGGTCAGAGGCTTTCTTGGGCACACCATACCGTACCCTTACGGTCGGTGAACAGACCTGAATATGGAGACAGAATGGGCCTGTGTCTATTATCTTGTAAGACCACTATGAATTTGTGACCTTCTTACCTGATCCTGGATACTGGAAGACATTCTGCTGCATCTGAGGATTCATTCCAGTGCCAAACTGTCCTCCCATGTTTCCCGCCATGCCCCGGTTCACCATGTTGCTACGGTTGGCCAGGGAGGCCTCGGGATTTGCTGCCAGTTGTGAAAATGGGCTGGTAGAAGCAGGTGGGGTTCCTGGGTTTGTACCATAATTTGGTGGGTAGGGGAACTGCTGTGGAGCACCCTGAGGAAGACGGGGGTTCCCCATTTGAACTGGCAGTCCAGATGAAGGAGGGAGGTTGTTCCCAAAGCTTTGTTGCCTCATCAGCATGGCTCGCTGCTGCTGTATTAGCTGCCTCTGTCGGTGCTGCTGATTGCACAATTCCCTATGGCGCTGGGCCAACATTTGGGCATTTAGGGGTGGCTGCAAGGGTGAGAAAAACCCTCACTTATTAAAATTGTCATCATTACCACCTATCTTGAAAAGTTTATGAGCTAAAGCCTAGTCTCTGGAGTGAACAGACTATGCAATAATTGCTAGTATACAAGGGAAATGAAAACTTACAGAAATGTCTCAATAATCACTTCACAACAACTTAAGTAATTACTCTTAAGGCGTAATCAGTACATTTTATAACTTAAAGTTAGTTGAGAAACACTGGAAACAGTATCTGATCATTAAACCCAAACCACACCCTTTGATATCCAGTCAATTCTGACTTAGGACAACCCACGGGTATTGGAGCAGAACTATGGTCCATTGAGATTTCAATGGCTGTAGATAGCCAGGCTTTCCTTCCACCGTGTTGTTGGGTTAATTTGAACAGACAACCTTTCAGTTAGTAAGCAGGACCACCCAGGGATCAATGTATCTGACCACTGTCGTCTATGTTGTCTGACCATTACCAAACTTAAACCAAAGACACTGCCACTGATTCAATTCTGACTCATAGGCAATCTATAGGACAGAGGACAACTGCCCCTTGGAGTGTCTGAGACTTCCCATTTTTATGGGACAAGCACTTTGTGCTTCTTTAGTGGAGCAGCTGGTAGATTCTGATCACTTGCCTTGTTAATGAGAGCTAGTTAAACACAAATTCCCAATTTAAAATCACACAGAACTAAGGAAGAAAAGCCAGCGAGTACATGTCGATTAGCATTATAATTCAGGCCATAGAACTGTAAAATCCCAGAAAAAGAGAAGAAAATGCACCTGATGACTTCTACCTTATTGGATATTAGGTTATTAGAAGACTTGTTCTACTTTATTCCCAATATTTGCTGTTTTTCTAGTTTTCTCCTTTCCTTACCGAAACCACTTATCCCATTTTACTTATGTGGATAAAATGCAAGTATAAGTGGTTTTAATTTCTTTCATTATGCTTTTCTATATTTTCCAAATTACCTCTAATGAGCATACATTATCTCTACAATCAGAAAACCCTAAAAATAACTCTAGAAAAGGAAGAATCAGAAATCCAGGCTCCAATGCCAAGTAGATGATTACTTCTAAAGCCAACACTAAACTCACTGCCATTGAGTCGAGGCTGAATCACAGCGACCCTATAGAACAGGGCTGAACTGCCCCTGTGGGTCTGAGACTGTAACTCCCGACAGAAGAGAGCTTCCTCTTTCTCCAAGGAACAGCTGGTGGTTTCAAACGAGGGGCCTTGCAGTGAGTCGAGAAACCCACTAGACCTCGGAGTTTCTAAATGAGCATTTAGGATGAAATAATGAATTCGAAATACAAGAGTAAATGGGAGCGTCTCTTGTCCATCATGACTGCAGTGACAAACTATCTTGGGCGCTACAGGGCGTCATTAGCTGTGATAGTTCAGGTAAGGGGAGAGATGCAAAAGGGAGCTGAAATCATTTTCCAGTCTTAAACATGCAAAGTTACAAAGCATGTCAAAAAGTATCACCTCAGGATGAGGACCAGATTAACGCAAAGAGCTCCAGTAAAGGTCAACCTGCCACCTAGCTGCAGTGCAATCTGGGAGAAACTGTGCTGACTTCCCGACAGGAATCATCTTTATGTGAATTTGAAAAAACTTCAAAGATTTCTCCCAAGTTGTCTCCCCCAAATATAGGCCAAACTCAGCTACTTGCTACACATGGTAAATGACTAAACCCTTGGAGGTCAACAGAAGTAGGTCAGAGGTTATTCTCTCTGGGAGTTATCAGCCACTTAGAGCGATCAGACTGTATAGTCTGTCCCACCCTAAGTAGGGCCCACTCCCTTCTGATAAGGATAATAGTAGATTGTTTCCCTGAAGGAGAGCCCAGGGAGGTCAAGCCCACTCAAGGGTGACCAAGGTTAGGCTGCCATCATGAATCTAGGGTCTACCCTTCTAGTCACATGTATACTCCTAGTCCCTTCTCTTCTTACAGTGAATACCCCTAGCTCATCTCCTTCGTGTCATGCTTATACCCATTGTATATTCCCTTTGTATTGCCTATGTTACAACCCCTTCCTATGACCTATGTCTCTACCTGTAATTAAGGGGCATGCACTCCTCCACAAAGATATATAAGCCTTGGTTAGCAATAAATCTCTCGCTTGTTCGCTCTTGCAATTCCCACCTTCCACATCTTCACGTGGACCACCAGGCGGGGCTGAGGTGAGCATGCTCCCACGAAATGTGTCCGACTCCTTTATTTTACTCCATGTCTCCCTATTCTCTATGACTTCACTATAAGCTTTATATATCTCAACTGTACAATTGTGCCTACCAAACCCAAGATTAGTTGTGGGGGGCTGGCTTCCCCCCCACTTTCCAATCTAATTCTCCCCACCTGGAGGAGTAGTGGTTATGTGCTGGCCTGCTAACCGAAATGGGGAGCAGTTTGAAACCACTAGATGCTCCACAAGAAAACGATGAGGCCTTCAACTCTTGAAAAAATGGCAGTCTTGGAAACTCACAGCGACAGTGATGCCCTGTCCTATCGGGCCTCAGTGACTTGAGGGCAGTGGCCTTGGTTTTGGTTTGGATCCTCACATGAACTAGTTAACTTGTGGCTGTCAAGTCATTACCAACATATAGCAGCCCTATAGGGCAAAGCAGACCTGCTCCATCAGGCTTCTGAGATTGTCAATATTTACAGAAGCAGGTAGCTTCATTTTCATGAACTACCAACTAACTGGTTAGCAAGTGAGCACTTAACCAGCTGTGCCACCAGGGGATCTTATAAGCCAACTACCGCGTCTTACAGAGACAATGGAGATACCAATCTGTGCTACTAACTGGCAGCTAGCTGCTGACCATATTTGTCCCCTCGGTTTGTGTGTGCTTCCTCCAGCCTCGTCTGTGCTTTGGAGGAGAGCTTTGTTTGGATCCTCTCTAAACCCCTCAGCTCCCAAATTTTTGCACCAACTTGGTGAAGAAAACATAAATAGGTGGATGAAACAAAACTGAAAGTATACGTGAAAATTAATGTTGGAAGTGAGTATACTTAGAAAGCTACCTTGTTCTTATGCTTAAAGATGTACTAGTTCTAAGCTTATAGACAAGAATCTTTAAAATCAGTAAAAGCTTGATAATACTTGTGTCCAGACTGAGCAGAGAACACTAGGTAGTACAGCAAGTTAGCAGTGCACCTGTGTTTTGATCAGTTGTCAGGTACCTTTCAGAGTAATTTTTTTTTACATCTTAGGCTTCATACTCCTGATACTGTCCAGTGCAGCAATATGCAGTTTCTACCTAGTACTCCAGTGTCCAATAGCAATGACAGCTACAACAAAGCCAGGCAAAGAACCCTCTGCTGTAGATCAAATATTAATAAGAGGAATCAAAATCAGATTATTAATTCTTTCTAGAAGAACATTATATGCAAACAGCACCCATTTAAAAGACACTCAAGTGAACACTTTGAGGAACACTGCTTAGGTCAGAGATGTACTAACAACAGCTGTGTCTGCGACATTACCTGAGGTGTGATTTGCTGCTGCATGCCTGACCTCATGTTGATGCCAACAGGAGCCGCTGCTGCAAACTGATTTAAGATAGCTTGTCGATTTTGGTGTATCAACTAGAGAAAAACAAATGATGAGAAATCACATTCCTACAGGCCAACACAGCTATTACCGAGTCACACGCAGTTTTGGATGATAATGACAAAACTTTTAGCAGTTACAGGTCTAGTAAGATACTTCCTAGGGGTACTTGCCACAAGGTTAGCAACTCCCAATATTTAGGCAGCCCTGGTGGCACAATGGTTAGATTCTCAGCTGCTCACCAAAAGGTCACGGATTCAAACCCACCATCAACTCTGTAGCCAAAAAGACCTGGCCATCTGCTCCTTCAGAGCGTCCTTCAGAGTGAGAACGGACTGGATGGATGGCATGCAACAACATCACCCAGCTACAGCCTGATGAATACCAGCTATGGCACGGACTGACCCACTCCTGCCAAGTCCATGCTGACTCAGAGCGACCCCCGTGGGTCTCCGAGACTGGAACACTTTATAGGAGTAGAGGGCCCAGCTTTTGTCCCACAGAGCTGCTGATGGTTTCAAACTGCTGATGATGCAGATCGCAACACATGTAAACACTATACCACCAGGGCCCTATCAAGGACAGAGTAAAAGAGCTCTCCTTTGCGTTTGTGAGACTAATTCTTTTTGGGAGCAGACGAACGCACCTTTCCCCTGAAAGTGGCACAGCATTTAAAAATAGACTATTTGTGTGTCTACACCTGTGTACACACATGTATACTTTGAACAGTAACGGACTCTGGTCAATTCCGGTAAGTACAGTAATCGAGAGTGAGAGAGCAGGAGGCCAAGCGCAGCCTGTACAGCTCTGGGGCGGAGTGGGACAGCTGAAGTCCTTCTCGGTTGGTGGGTGCCTCTCGGTTGGGTACATATTTTGGAAAAAAACCAAAGTGATTTCATTCGCCAGAGAGAATTATGTAAGAAATAAATGGTCTGAGAAAAATGGACTATTTATTTAACTAGAAGAAGTAATTACTTTAGACCAGCATTTCCCAAATTGGTGTTCTAAAGAACATTGTTCTGTGGATATTAATAGATGTGCCAGGAAAATAGCATGCTGTGCTGTATTAAGTATTGGAAATGATAGGTTACACAAGGTGAAACAGATTTCTTTACTGCAGTAATTTTATGAGCCTTTAATTGGACAAAGTGCATTGTGCATCTTCAACAAGGGAATATATAATGCACCTTGTTTGATTATAAACATTTCTTTTCTGAGATAACCATTAATAACCCTCTCCTATGAAATGCAATTGTTTTTTTAAAAATGCTGTCATGCTGTTTAGCGGAGGCTTGCGTTACCAGGTCATGGGCATGCGTGACACTGATCTGGTACTGAACAAAGTACGTACGTTTGGGAGAGAGGTTTTCTTGTAGTCCTATAAACCTAAAAAATCTCTTCCTACAGAATTTGCCATGAAACTGTTCAGAGCTGTAACAACTTAATTTTATATTTATATGGTGCTTTATAACAAATGATACATGATATTAGTATATCATATTTTATATTCTATAAAATACATTCATATCTTTAAATAACATGTGCAAAGTGGGATGCTTATGAGAAAGTCTCTTCAGAAAACCCAAGAACTGTGACTGGTGATGAAATTACGCGTCTCTAAATAGCACAACTGGTAGTGTTGGCTTCCTTCGTTTTCTCAGGCTTCCATTACAACCCCAAACACAATGACTTTGGAAGGAAAGTTTAACATTATAAATGTTAAATCACAGCGCCCAGGCATGGTGAGGAAGCCACAGCATTCTGAATCCATGCGAGAGTAAAGCCACCATCCCGAATATCTTTCAAAGAAACACCCAGAGCATCCAAACCTACATACTTAAGCTCCAGAGACAATGACCAGACATGAAAGCAAGCCAAGTTAATTTTACAAAGGCTTATCAAAAACTTCAGTCTATGTAAGATGCTGTCCAAAGTCTGGAGACTAAAAAGCTGAGCAAATTCCTGTCCCTTGGGGGTTCCCTGTTGAGGGGCAGAGGCTATGAGACCAATGCTCTGCACACGGGCTGTGCTGGAACTGAGAGAGCCCTCTATAGCAGCACAGAGAGGACAGCTAACTCAGCTGAGGAACGTGGAAGCAGCGTGTGCACAATACACTAATGGTCTTGAGGTATGAGGATGCCAGGTGGCCAGAAGGTTCAGAGTTAACTTGAGGCCAGAGGAACAGCTGGTTGGTTAAAAGTAGCAAGGGAGGTGAAGGGCACAGGTGAAAAGATGGTAGTACTTCAAGAGGGAGAGGAGTGGAACTGACTGAGAAGGATCCCAAGTCTGTGGACTGATAGGCTTGAATTGTTAGATACTGTGAGAAAGAAATGGGTGGGAATGGCATAAAGGCACTTGAGATGTAGTAAGAATGAGGAACAATCTTGGGAAATACAAAGGTTATTTTTTAGAAGTTGAAGAAATGATTAAAAACACCAGAAATCTACATTCCCTTTCTGCTACAGAAAAAGAGGTCATTACGCCCTTGAAATATCCCTTGTTCATTTGTTCCTCCCACATCTTGACTAATGCCATGCATAAATGTCTCCCTTCTCTCAGATTACCAAAATCCTACCCATTCTTCAACAAGCAGGTCAAGTTCTTCCCACAAGGATCACTACATCTGCTATCTCCTCTGAAATCTTAACCTGTTGGGGAAATGGTGGTGGGTTGGGAGGAGAGAATTTGATAGTCCTAATTCAAAAGCCTAATGAATGACTAGGCCAAAAAGGCTCCTTGTAATACAACAGGAAATGTGAGGCTTGTGGCCAATGGAAGAGTGCAGACCCTCCCAATATGTACAAAACACACACACACACACACACACACACACACACACAGCCCAAAAGGAAGAGTGCAGACCCTCCCAATATGTACAAAACATACTCACTCACTCACTCACTCACTCACTCACTCACTGCCCAAATGGATGTTTTCCCAGGGTCTGATCAAGAAGTCCTTCCAAGGTAGCCCAGAGGCTCTCAAGCCAGGGGTGAGTCCCCGCTCTAGGAGAACATGACAGTGTTGCAAGACATTCTTCATCTTCACCACTAGGGGCAGAGGCACCAATAGCATTTACAACGCAGAGGATAGGGTGCTGGTAGTCCTCCTTCGATGCACAGGAAGCTCCCGGCCAAAGAAGAAATATGAATAATCTAGCCCCAAATGTTAAACTCTGAGAAAGAAAGAGACTGTTAAGGAAGATCATTCCTTTGGGGAGCACTTTAATTGCCAGAAATCTGAAGGAAAAATCTGACTGTCTCTGTTGTCTGCCCTTAGATCCTAGTACTATTTCCTGGCCACTTCTATTCTCTATAATAGATACAAGTTAATCAACGGTGGTTCTTATGCCACACCCATACATTTCTCCAGTCTCTTAACACGCAATGCATCTGGCCTTGTCTTAAGATGGCTAAACAGGAGTTTATTGTATCTTTAGTCAGCCAATGATACATCAGTCATCTTTTGAGTTGCCCCGTTCACAAAATACAGCCTTAGAAATTTTTCGCTGGTATTATGGATTGACTTCTCAAGTCTTTGCCCAGCTGAAGGAAAGATAATAGCTTACAGTTCAATTTCGTATTTTCTCTTCATCACCTGCCTTCATGTTTCTTATTTAAGTGGTAGCCAATGCAACACCTTCTTATAAATTTGATATATTTTGGACATAAATCCTCCTTTTTGTTGTGCATCTTTGTGAGACCATACAGCTTCATCTTTCTCCTTCAGAGCAGCGAGTGGGTCCAAATGGACAGCTTTTTAAATTTAGCAGCCCAGTGCTTAGTCCACTGTCCCACCAGGGCTCCTTTTTATAATAATAATAATAATAAACCCCAAACCCACTGCCATAGAGCTAATTCCAACTCACCCTATGTAGGGTTTCAGAGACTGTAAATGTTTATAGAGTAAACAGCCTCATGTTTCTCACGAGCAGCTGGTGGGTTTAAACGGCAAACTTTGCAGTAGTAGCCATATGTTTACCCCACAGCCCTGCCAGAGCTCCTTTTGAATAACCTATAGCAAGTATTTACCACATCCTACTATAGGGTAGGCATTGTGCTAAAATATTTGCATGCTTTATCTCATTTACTCCACACAACTACCTATGAGGAATTACTAGCCTCTTTTTATAGATGAGGACTGAGAAGCAGGTCTTGTCAGAGAGCCCTGTAAAATGGCTTAAGGCAGACATGGGTTAAAATGTATTATCTGGTCATTTGATCTCTCTTTTGACCCATTTTACAGCTGTTCTAGTCTGTTTGCTTGTTTTAAAGTGAAGGGAAAACACTCCTGGAGTAAGCCCCTGGTGAATGCCCTTCTGAGCAAGGACCAGGGAGGACAATAGGCTGGCAATCATTGAGCAAGGACCAGGGAGGACAATAGGCTGGCAATCATGCAATGCACATTGGAAAGTGGATTGGTGCAAATGCAGTTAACATTTAGCAACCCATCATTTGATTTCCTGGATGATCCATTTAAATTTGTACCAGTTTTTTTTCCTCCTTACTTTTATTGGGGGCTCTTACATCTGTTATCATAATCCACACATTCATCCAGTGTGTCAAGCATATTTGCACATGTGCCACCATCATCATTATCATTGTTCTAGTTTTTAAATTGTATTGTTTTCTTTTCAATTGAGATTTTTATCTGGGTTACTTTGTTAGTTTTTGTTTTTAATTTTTTTTGGTGTATATGAAATCTAGGATAGGAAAATCTATAGAGACAATAACTGGATTAATGGTTCCTTGGGGGTATGGCAGGGAGGTTGGTGAGAAATGGGGAGCTAATAACGATGAGTACAAGAACAAAAATGTTCTAAGACTGGTTATGGTGAAAGCTGTACAACTCTTCTTGATATGATTGTACTATTGAATTGTATGACAGGTGAATTATATGCCAATAAAACTGTTGTGGAAAAGAATCAAGTCTGGAAACTATATCTAATGCATATAATCATTATACATCTTACTGCCTCCCTTAGAAAATTTATTTCCTTCTTTCTCTCCCTTCTTAAATTACTGAGTCTCCAGAACATTTCTTTGGGGGAAAAAACCCACAAATACTCAAAGAAGTAGGCACATGGTTAAAAAAATAAAGCAGAAGAAGTCACTTCCAGCCTCAGTCCTACTTACCAGAGACAATGCTTCCAGCCATTTGCTTCTGTAACCCTTTTGGTCACTGTTCTCCATCTCTGATGCATACATAACCTTATACAAAGGGGCCTCAAAGAGTCTACGGAAAAACTCCATTATCTCTTAAATCCACTTTCCCACACACTTTTGGAAGCCACTTCATATTTATGCCACAGATTTATTCATTTCTTGACATTACAGGGGAAGATTAACTCACAGCTCCCCAAACTACCCTTTCTTTTATTCTCCTAACATAATAACATTATTCAACTTTAATGCATCAACTTCAAACAACATAAATAAAAATCAACTGCTATTCCACTGATCATAAATAGCATTTCCTGATGCTCCACTTTGTACCATTAAGCTATAATATTTCTCTTTACTAATTTAGTAATCATCCTAAACATTTTTTATCTGGAGAAACAGAATTAAATTATTTTTAATTGTGGGTCTTGAAATACTTTGTTATGAAGCACCAGTCTTTAATTAAATAAAGAGGTCTTTTATCCCTATCCTAGGATCAGACCAAAGATGATTCTTTGAATTTTTCAAAAGGATTCAGGGAGTGGACTTGACACCTTTATTATAGCAAGTGAGTACCTTCTTATTACAGAGAGATTACAGCCCATGCCTTTTAAAGATGCCAACTGCTAAACCGGTGTACTCACCTGCTGTTGTCCCTGTAACCGCTGCTGCAGTTGAAGTCGAAGTTGGTTCGGGGCAGCCGGGGGTCTGTTAAGCGTTTGCCTGGGCTGCATGCCCATGCCAGGTGAAAAGGTCCCTCGGGGGGGTGTGACTTGAACAGGCACAGCCCCCATTGAGGGTTTTTGCCTGATCATGCCTTGGAAAGGGCTAGGGAGATTGGCAGTAGGAGAAGGGGCAGAGTAAGGCTGGGGATAAAGGTTGGGTCTTTCTTCCATCATCAATGGTGGTGTTGCTTGCTGTGGTGGAAATCTCTCCGATAATACATCCAATCCACCACCCTGTGAGGAAGGAAGTCAGAACATTTTACAACTAAATGCAATGAGTAGCCTGCGTCTGTATGCAGTATTGAATAACCTGAAGGCACGGTGTCTCTACAAAGTGCCGTCATGAGCTTGCTTTGCAGAATGCCACAGTCCTAGCCAGAGTCCTAGCCTTCAAAGTTTCTATTACCCATGGAAAGAAACATATTTAAAACTATGACCTGTTATGTGCATGTGCGTGTGTAACTTAGAGGAGTTTCATGAAACAAAGCTTCCCCTTTTTTATACTCCAATATATATTTATTATTATTTTATTGGGGGCTCTTACAGGTTTGTTTGTTGTTGTTTTTTAAACATTTTATTAGGGGCTCATACAACTGTTATCCCAATCCATACACACATCAATTGTGTAAAGCGCATTTGTACATCGTTTCTCAAAACATTTACTCTCCACTTAAACCCCCGACATCAGGTCCTCATTTTTCCCCTCCCTCTCCGCTCCCCCCTCCCTCATGAGCCCCTGATAGTTTATAAATGGGTATTTTGTCATATCTTGCCCTGTCCGACGTCTCCCTTCATCCACCCTTTGGCTGTTTGTCCCCCAGGGAGGAGGTCACACACAGTTCCATGTAATCGGTTCCCTCTTTCCTACCCATTCTCCCTTTACCCTCCCTGTTTTGCCACTCACACCACTGGTCCTATAGGGCTCATCCGTCCTGGATTCCCTGTATTTTCAGTTCCTATCTGTACCAGTGTACCTCCTCTGGTCTAGCCAGTCTTGCAAGATAGAATTCGAGTCATGGTAGTGGGAGCGGGGAGGAAACATTTAGGAACTAGAGGAAAGTTGTATTTCTCATCATTGTTACATCACACCCTGACTGGCTCATCTCCTCCCCGAGACCCCTCTGCAAGGGGATCTCCAGTGGCCTACTAATGGGCTTTGGATCTCCACTCCGCACTCCCCCCATCATTCACTATGGTAAGATTTTTTGTTCTGATGATGCCTTACACCTGATCCCTTCGACACCTCGTGGTTGCATAGGCTGGTGTGCTTCTTCCATGTGGGCTTTGTTGCTTCTGAGCTTGATGGCCACTTGATTACTTTCAAGCCTTTAAGACCCCAGACGCTATACTTTTTGATAGCCGGGCACCATCAGCTTTCTTCACCACATTTGCTTATGCACCCATTTGTCTTCAGTGATCCGTTCGACACCCCGTGATCACACAGGTTGATATGTTCATCCAGTGTGTCAAGCACATTTGCACATGCCACCATCATAATTTTCAAAGCACTCTCTTCCCACTTCAACCCCTAATATCAGCTTCCCATTTCGACCCCTTTCCTTCCGTACCCATCCACCTTCCCTCCCTCCCTCCTGAACCCTGGATAACTTGTAGATTGTTATTTTCATATCTTACATTGTCCTCTGCTGCCCCTCACTCACTTTTCCATTGTTTGTCCCTGAGAGGGGGGGGGTTATAGGTTGATCGATTCGCCTTTCTCCCCCTACCACTCCAATATTTTTATACTACACTTTTTATTCCATTAAAAAATGCTGATTTTGACCCACTCGGTTGATCACACCATGCAATCTGAAAAATGCTGGCCTAGAACTTATGGGATACATATGGTAAAGACAAACATGAATAATGAAAAAATTAAGTCCTAAAAGAAGTGATTAGATAGACCAGGATTCTTTTCCCGCTGGAGAATGTAAGATTCTTTTCCACAGTGAAAGTCAAAAATGTTCGACATTCTTAACTCCATGGATTATTTTGGAATTATTTTGGGCTTAAAGAGACCATTCAATAATGAATATATTTTGGTAACTTACATAAATAGTTAGCTAAAACACAGTGGGAATGATATTGAAAAATCTTGCTTCAATATAATTTTCAAACTTCTCGGGTTTGCATTCTTAAGTAAGGCCAACTTCGGTAAATACCTGCACAAGTTTGTCAATCCCCAGAGCTCGGTCGAGCTCGGCTAGCTCCGTTTCATCTTTGCCACTGAGGAAAGAGACCAGCTGCTCGAGAAGAGCTTTCTCGTCGTTTCTTCCCTCTACGGTGGTCGGAGGGCAGAGAAGCTCATCTAGTTGTGCGCTAATGCACTGGCTGCAGGGTTCAAAATAAAACGTAAGCTGATGACGAGCAAGCAATTATTCGATCTTAACAACACACACATATACAGAAGGGGGCTTCAAAATGTTCAGGGAAAAATGGAATTAAAAGAGATTTTAGTTCAGTAAGAATTTTCCACGAAACCTTTGAGAAGCTCTCTCCTATATGCATGCAAATATTTCCAGAAAATTATCTGTTAAGATGCTCTGCAATCAATTCCAACTCAACAAAGTATTCTTTACTTAATGTACAAAAATTAAATGAACATTTGTTATATAGCTTGAATGTATTTTTCATTATACTGTCAATCAATAATTGTTTTGTTTCCAAACATAGTTAAGGGAAAAGAATTTTGATCAAAAGTAAAAAATAAAAGTCAGCCCCAAACTCAGAAATAATCATTTAGCTTAAATTCACATTTATTCCACTTATTCCATGGAGGCTATTAATTGTTGACGACTGAACCATAAATCAAAACAGTACACATAGTATTTAACTTACAGACTATCAAATCATATTGATAACATGATTATTGGGCACAAATCAAATTTTAAAAAGGAAGCAATGCTAGTAGCTAAGCAACAAACTAATTATTCATTGATTACATGTAGAAATATCTGTTGTCTAATCAAAACCAAAAAAGCCGTGGTGATACTGGGAGTTCTATGTTGGCTGCTAAGCGCAAGGTCGGCAGTTCAAACTCAATAGCTCCTCCATAGGAAAGATGATGTTCGGCTGTGGTGATGTAGAACCCAGAGAAGCAGTTCTATTCTGATTACCATGACTTTATCACTTTGATGGCAGTGCATTAGGTTTGAGGTTTAATCAAAACCAACACCAGTTGATATATCAAACTTACAAATGCGTGTAAAAATAACACTAACACAGAAACACGAATATAATATAAAAGGGAACACAGTGTCCAGTTCATGGAGTAAATCACATTTGGCCCGCTGTTGCCTTACGTTCAGTGTACTCTGAGGAATGGAACACGTGGGTTAAGAAATTCAATGCAAGTCAAGATGCAACACCGAGCAGATGTCTGTAGAAGTAGTTTCCCTCCTTATACTCCCTCTTCCAAACAAAGAGAAAAGCTGAGCAAAATAATTACCATAGCTGAAAGCTAAAGAGTAATACAATTGTACCAAGGCCAATTCATCCACAGATCCTAGAAATATGGCATCCGATCAAAACAAAGACATAAAATACAAAACAACAGGTGCTAACATAGTCATCTCATGATGCTTCCAGTATACATGAATCTTGTGGTCCTGCAGTCAATAAATCAGCTGAGCTCAGTGTTCAAGCTCCCTGGCTCTTCTTTTTCACGAGACACCTCATAAAATACTCATGTGCACTTTTCAATTTCAGAATGTATCTGCCAACTTATAAAGTCTGAAACTTAATACTTACTCTTCTGGTTTATTCTGATTTCCAGCTGCGACTGTATTATTACCCCATGGAATCTGATCACCTGGTCCTGGTTGCCCAAACTGGTTATCAACTGCTTCCAATTCTAGCTCAGGCAATCCTAATAGAAGAAAAGGCAAGAAGTCAGAATCGCAATGGAGGATGATGGGAAGACAAACTTTTCAGAAGTTATTGATTGTATAGTACAACAAAACGGGCCCTATCAAGTATTACCTCAATGATAGGCCACTTACTCAGAAGCTTAAATGATCTAGAATGTGACCACGTAATAAAACTAAGTAAGAAGGTGTCAACATACATCTGAATTAAAAAAAAAAAAGACCCCATGCTAAAACATTTGCACAAAGCTTGATGTTTATTATAGGATAATCATTTAGGACTTAAAAAATTATTTTAAAGACAATTATAAAAATTGTTAACTATTTTTTTTCATGTTATACCACATAAGAAAATGCTATAAGGGGCAGTGCCGTCACCGCGAAATGAGAGATGCAAACTCTATAAGAGGCCAGAACAGAAACTAAAAGAACACAGCAGCCCAGAGTCATTTGGAAAATGGATAAAATTCTATAATCATTCAACTAAGAAATAACTATAATTAAAAATAGAGAAATAACTATAATTAATGTTTGTAATGATTTTAAAAAGAAACTGAATTATGTTTTATACTTAAGAAAATAGTATATGCAATGCAAAAAGGTTTTGTGGGCATTCATTTTAAGCTTTATGATTATCTTTGTACTACACATACTAGAAAAGAAATGGAAATAACCCAAATGCCAGAAATGCAGGGACTGGCTGAACAGCTGTGGTACAGATATTTACAATGTGCTGTCAAACTGTTTTACAGCTTATTCCAGGTTATTGTTCCAAGAGGATGACCCCATTTTTATAAGATTGTTTCATATATATTTACAGTGCAGCAAATTACTTAATATGGCTCTTGTGCCCATAGTCTTTGCAATGCCCACAAACAACTTTTTCTTCATTGGTCTGGGTGAACAGAAGGTGGGATTTTATGATTCAGCTGTGAGTGATTGTTAACAAGGCTAATTGTGATTGTAAAAAAACGTGGACTTGTAACATGGAGAGTGGTCAGTTTTGCCATCCGGCTGGATATAAAATGAGTCATCTCAGAGTGGGGAATCTCATTCCCATGAAGAAAAAAGAGGCAAGATTAGACTACATCATTTGCACCCAGGGGATCCTATCACACTCACCCTCCTCTATGCAGAGACAGAAAACAGTGACACCAGTGCCATGGTGGCAGAGGAGCAAACGCCAACAGAACCAAGAGCCAGAGTTGTGTGCTTCTCAGGCCACAGGGCAGGTGAGTGCTTCCAGGCACTGGATTGGGAGAGGTAGGTTTCCAAACCCACGGAGCTAGAGCCCAGCGCCCCTGCATGGTGAGGCTTACAGCAGGGTTTTTAAGACTTCATAAAAACTCAACTCACTGCCATGGAGTCTCAAATGACCCTATGTGAGAGGGTAGATGTGACCCTGTGCATTTCCAAGACTGTAACTGTTAAAAGGATTAGAAAGCCCAGTTTTTCTAATGAGAGGCTGGTGGTTTCGAACTGCTGACCTTGCAGATTGCAGTCCAAAGAGTAACTACTACACCACCTGGGATCCTTTATAGCCGGCACTAAAAGAGCTTTCTAACACTGTTCACAGGACAAAGATCAAGGGGTGATGTAGCTGAGAAGCCTGTGTGGATGGCTTAGAAGAGGCTGTCCTGCCTGGAAGAACTGTGTCCTGAGCATTTCTAATTCTGAATTGTAAAGTCCATCATTGTGAGCAGCGCCTGTGAGTTCTGTGTGGTCACTGCAATGAATCATCAAATCCAGTAGAGAAACAGTGGTGCAGAGGGCTGGTCTAAGAACTGGTAAAGAAAGGGTGGAGGCATGTCTTACCTCCGCCGCATAAGAATGGGCCTTGGCTGTCAGGGTGGATGTCACAAAGATGAAAAACACAACTTTCCTCTAGTTCCTAAATGTTTCCTCCCCGCTCCCACTACCATGACTCGAATTCTACCTTCAAGTCTGGCTAGACCAGAGGATGTACACTGGTACAGACAGGAACTGAAAATACAGGGAATCCAGGGCGGATGAGCCCTACAGGACCAGTGGTGTGACTGGCGAAACAGGGAGGGTAGAGGGAGAGTGGGTAGGAAAGAGGGAACCGATTACAAGGAACTATATGTGACCTCCCTGGGGGACGGACAATCAAAAAGTGGGTGAAGGGAGACGTCGGATAGGGCAAGATATGACAAAATAACAATTTATAAACTATCAAGGGCTCATGAGGGAGGGGGGAGCGGGAGGGAGGGGAAAAAAGGAGGAGCTGATGCCAGAGGCTTAAGTGGAGAGCAAATGTTTTGAGAATGATGAGGGCAATGAATGTACAAATGCGCTTTACACAATTGATGTATGTATGGATTTTGATAAGAGTTGTATGAGCCCCTAATAAAATGATTTAAAAAAAAAAAAAAAGAATGGGCCTTGGACTGGTCTAAGCTTGGTTCCTTCCCCTCCCCTCTTGTGAAAGGAAACTTCTGCAAAGAGGCCTCCATGCCATTTTTACAATATTCGTAGAAAACAATCTGGCCAGCATATAGCCTTGGCTGGCTGTGATGTTCTTTTTAATGCTAATTTGAAATTTCTAAATGAACACATGTTAACTATTAAAAGAAAAATAAAAAAGCTTTGAAGTTTTAAGAGATTATTTATTTAGGTAGGGTTAGTCATTACAATAAATGAAGAAAACAGATTTCAGCAAAACAAACTAAACTTTGTATACTCAACAGAAAGCAGTTTGTGATCTAGAAGTCACTTCAACCTTTTCAGACTTCCTTTGGATTTGGTCTTCTATGAAATTTTTCTAGGGTTTGCTGGACTCTTATTAAATACACAGGTGATCTCTCCTGGTTCAGGAAACAAGCCTATCTTTGGTCATGTGTAGTATCACAAAGTAAGGATCAAAGAAACCCAGACCGGCACAAAGCATTTGAAATAAATTCATCTATTCGGGCTCAGGTGTGCCTGACCCAGGCCAGGGTACTTTCAATTGCCTGATATGCATGTGAAAGCCAGACAATGAATAAGAAAGACTGCAGGAGAATTGATGGATTTGAGTACTGAAAGCACCACAGACTGCCAGAAGAACAAACTAATCTGTGTTGGAGGAAGAACAGTTGGAACTTGCCTGGGAAGTGAGGTTGGTCAGACTCTGTCTCCCGTACCTTGAACTTGGTATCAGGAGAGACTAGTCCCTGGAACAGGACAGCACGTTTGGTAGAGGGTCAGTGCAAAAGAGGAAGATTCTCAATCAGATAGATTGACAAAGTGGTTGCAACACTTGTAGCAATTGTGGAGAAATTACAATTGTGAAGATGGAGGAGGGCCCGGCAGTGTGCCCTTCTGCTGTACATGTCAGAGCCTACTCAACAGCAGATCACCACCACCACCACCACCACCAGTCCCTCTAGCACAGAAGGAGCTGAAGCGGGGTCAAAACAAGGCCTTAGAGATCCCTCATCAAGCTATTCATGCTTTTTATCATTTGTGCAAAGGGCTCAACATCATACTTTTTTTGTATATAAAGTGTCTAAAAGGAGACCCTGCTTTATAGCTCCACTAGCCACAGTGAACTCAGCAAAAGCCTCAGATTATTAAATAATTTGCACACTACATAGACAGCCATGTCTTAACCCTGAGGGTGGCTTCTGCACAAGCTGACAGTGTGTCCTGAGTGATGCTCGCAGTTTACTTTCTTCACCTATTGGTAAGGAGGTTGCGGGTTCTGCTTTGGGTTACAGTCAGTAGTGCCTGTGAACAGCTACAGTGTTTCATTTAAAAAAAAATTATATAGACAAAGGACTAATTTCTATAAGCCAGTAAGAAGAAAAACCCAACAGCCCAGTAGATTAGTGGTTAGAGTTCAAACTGTTCGCCTAAGTTCAGTGAAAACATAATCAACCTATTCATACTAAGAGAAATGCAGGTTAAAAACGACCTTGAGACACTGTGACAAAGCAGATTACCAAAAAAACGAGAAAGTAAATAATCCAGTGTGTTGGTAAGGATTTGTGGGAATAGGAACCCTGAGGTCAGATATGGGTATCATCTCTAGGAAGGGCCTTTTGGCAGCATTTGTCCTTGGACTCACCCAATCTTTTTTTCCTCATATTTTTACTGGGATGTGGGTGGAAGTCTACAGAGCATGCTGGCTCTCCATTCCACAATTCACACATACCGGTATTTTTATTTGTGGCATTGACTGCAATCCCCACAGTGTGGTGGCATTCTTCCCACTTCCTCCCTGTGTTGACCCCATTTCCATTTGTCCTTGCCTATCTTTCCTGCTTTCTGAGCAATCATGTACAGTGAGTTGTTCTAGGACGTATGTACTTATGTGCCACTTCTCTGTGTTACTGTTCATCTTACCTCACCAAACTCAAAACTCTTTGCCATCAAGTCAATTCCGACTCTTGGGGATCCTACAGGACAGGTTAAACCTGCCTTTTGGGGCTTTGGAGACTTTACATCTCTATAGGAGCACACAATCTCATCTTTCTCCCTAAGAACGGCTGGTGGGTTCAAACCACTGACCTTGTGGTTAGCAACTCGGTATCCCACTACGCCACCAGGGTTCCCAATCTGATCACAGTCACGCCTAATTCCAGTTTTCAAATAAAAACAAAAAGCAACAGTGTTATTCTTTTTTGGATCAACAGATTTGGTTCCAAATATCTTTGGAAAATTTCAAGCCCAACCCACTCTCAAAGGATGGAGATCTGAAAAGACCTCTGAGAGGTTTTTAGAGTGTTACCAAAAAGAAAGCACGTATTCTGATTAACAATATTCTCAGCTCCTTAAATTGTCTATGCTGAAAATTCAACGTTTGTCTGGATGCATTTTTGTTGAAAATTTTAATCAAAATTATTTGAGTCATCAGTCCCACCATCATGTGTGCGTGTGCATGGGTTGTGGGACCAGGAGACACGTTGAAATTGTATTCTGTCCATACTAGAGAATCTCTGGAGTTTTGTGTCTGTGTATCACCTGTATCGTTTCTTACTTCCCAAAAGACCACTGGAATCACAAAAGAAATAAAAGGAGGAAATAATCTACAGCAGACAGTAAGTAGTCCAAGGAGTATCATGGCAGTAGATCAGAAAACGCAGAACTTCCGAAAGATAAAACACAGATGGGAGACCAATGGATGGTTTCACACCTCAACTAAATTAAGAAGCTTTCCAAAGGAAAATGAGATTTTCCCCAAAGAGGGTGTTTTTCCAGGAGAACACCAGAATAACTGCAAGCTCAGTGGTCATCTGAGCTGGATGGAAGAACAGACCAGGGACAATTGTGGGATAATTAAGGGATGACTGTACAGCTGCCACCAACCCCTGCTCTAAGTGCAGCTGACTCGGCTAACTACCTAAGGGAGGAAAGTTCTGCCCAGGGGATCTCCAGAGTGGGTGCTAGTGCCCCCCTACAGGCTTCCCTCCCCACCCAGTCCCACCCCCTCACGACCCCCTTCCAATGGGGACACGAGCTGCTATCACCAGAACCTATGTCCATTGCCAGGGGGAAAGGGCTTCTTTACTTTAACCAGCAAACATTTTTATTCCAGGTCTTTTTGGCCGTCTGAGGGTGAAATTTCACAAAACATTCAAGAAAAGTCAACAGTGGGAGAGAGAGACAGCCCATTTAACAAAGGAAGAAAGAAAGTTGAAAGTGTTGGTACTGAAGATCCATGAATACTGGAGTAACTGTAAGAAATATCATCACACAGTCTATCACACATACAAAGGAGACTCCTAGGAAGAAGAAAAACAATCTCCAGACACGATCATTTCGAAGCAAAGAATGCAATGGTTGAAGCTTCAGCTTTTAGCTGGAAAACTGTAACCAGAGTTTCTCCCAAATCATCTTTTCTGCTCACAAATACGTAGTATCATACAAAGATCAAGGAGCCAAGCTCTCAAAGTTCTGAGGGAAAGGGATTTGGGACCTTAGATGTACCCGTCCGTCCTGCCACAGCATCATTACCTCATCATTACAGTATGAGAGCAGAATAAATTGATTTTCGGGTATGCGAGCCAACACTGATCTAACCGTGCTGCTTTCCCCAGCCATTTGAGATCTGCTAACTGTCCATACATTTTGTATGTGTCTGACCTCATGTTCGATCTTTTATGCAGATTCCTCAGGTCCAGGTCCGACAGCTTTGATGGCTCTTCTCCCCTGCCCAGTTGCAGCCACTAGATCCTCTGGCCAGGTAAAAGCCCTGGCAGGGGAGCCAGGGGAGATGGCTAGGCATCCGTGGACTCGTACTGTGCCATGGCCACAGCATTTCTGTCACAATAATTCTCAACAGCCATTTTACTACAGAAGCACATGAGCATTTCACTTCTCCTCCCAGCAGCACCTGGGAGATGGGCTGCTGACGGATCAAAAGATGGATAGATGTCACTATTACACACACACACACACACACACACACACACACACACACACACACACCACAAGAGTCTTTTAGACATGATTGTTCTGAATCCTGCATTTCGCATCTTTTACCTTGCACCAAAAACAAAACAGGATTTGTTTTGAGAGGCTATGAGACAGGGTTGCTGTGAGTCTGATCGGACTCAATGGCACATAACAGCAAGTGAAATCATTCTAATATGAGAGATGTTTAGAAGGGGAAACGGACAGAGAACATTAACCAACAGAAGGCAGGAGGGGAAAAAAAGTAAAACAAAACAAGAACCCACCCCAACAAGCATAATAAATGAAAATTTTATGATAGGATGCTAAACACAACCAATGGATAAACTCAATTGTGACAGGAAAGATCATAAAATACAGACTTTGGAAGATTGAAAATAAAGGGAGAGGAAAAGACTAGACCAGCATTAGCTAAACTATTGGGGGCATAGACATTTTAATATCAGAATAAAAGTAGTTGGGGGCAGCTTCCAATCAGGCGGTGTCCTGACAAATCCCCTCCCCTCCAGCCTCCCACATCTGATGAGGAAGGGGACCAAGATGAAACCCTCGGTGTCGACCTTGACCCTCGCCCGTCTCGTCTGCACTATACTATTGTTCATCTGTGTCTGATATCCCAGAGTCTGCAACGGATCTAAGTTTCAATGAGAAGAAACTTTTGAACTCATTTCCTCTCATTTTTGATCCTAGTCAAATGACCCAGAAGTGATGCGTTTCCTCTGGTTTTTATGCGACAGACAAAGAAAACAAGGGTCAGAAAGTTCATTTGCTTGAGGTCACATTGTTAACAAACAGAATGGGAAACTTGCACCCCGGCGGCGCCTGTCTCCTCATCTGCCGCTCTGGTCGCCTGAAAAACACCTGCCAAACACAGCACTCAAGAGCCTTCTTCTTTCCGCTGCCTGGGATTCTCGGTGAACTTTCAGGAGCTGGACTGTGGCAGTTAACAGGTGCAGTCAGGATGAAATAAAAAGTCCCACAACCAACCTCCAGCAGAAGAAAGAGTGAGGACTTAGGTCAAGATTCCAGGTACATTTTATAAGAGTGCTAGTTCAGTTCCTTAGTTTGAAGGTCAGTTTGGAGAAATTATCACTGTTTTTTCCAACCCTCCAAATTTGATGGATGAAACAACTTTTGACAGCTCTATCTTCATGAATTACATGTCTCTTGAAAATGAAAATGCTACACTGGGTTAGAACAAGGAGTTGCTATTGAAAGCTGTCTTCTGATCAGTGCTTCATTTTGGGGGGTAAGAGGTATTACTCAAAAAGAGACACTTTCCAGTCAAGTAAACTTGGGAAATACTGAGTGAAGGAAATCTAAACTGGTTTCTTTACCACAGGGCATCTCAAGGCCCTTGCTATAAGCCTTTATAAACCGATTGAAACTTAACAATAAGGGGATGTAAGAACCATAGAGCACTAGTATTTAATATTTTACTACAGAATCATTTCTCTCTGCAACTTGAAGGAATTCATTTTGGGAAATCAGATCTGACTCCATATCAAAGTCCTGCTACGGGAGTAAGGTGGCGGCGGCGGCGGCGGTAGCGGTGTGTGTGTGTGTTTTGGATAAGAACATAGAATAGATTATCTTAACATGAACTGCTGCCCTTCACAATTCACGTTCTTGTTAATTACAGAAGGGTAGAGATCCTGCTGAAGTAGAAAAGACACAAGTACAATGTACATGTCTAAATGTATGCATACTGCATGTGTGCATTTTATGTATGTCTATGCATTTTATATGCATATATAGTTAGATAGATATTCTGACTCGTAAAAACCATTTAGGTCAGAGCAGAACTGCCCCAGAGGGTCCTCAAAGGAGTCTAAGTTAACCTGATAGCAATGGGTTGGAGGAATCTTTACAGAAGCAGAATGCCACCTCTTTCTCCAGGGCAGCCGCTGGTGGGCTCACAAGACTGATCTTTTGGTCAGCAGTCACGCACTTTCACCACTATGCCAAGGCCCCCAACCAACCACGGTCTAGGCAATGAGAAAGTGCCAATCCACAGGATCATTAAACATGCATAACGAACTTTTACACCAACACATACTGTTCAGTCTGGCAGTGGGTCTGGCAGCGGTGGACTGAAGTGAAGCTGGCAGGATCTCCGATTTGATGGGGACACTGGGGACCGCTCCGTCCATCCTGTCTGTCTCACACAAGCCCGGCAGCTGGGCTGCCTTCTCCAGTGTGGGCAGTAACTGATCAAACTGATCGAGGTCTGCTGTGAACTGAAAATGGAAACCAAGTTAGAGGAAACTGAGTCCACACTTTCATAAAAAATAATGTAAAAAAAGTAACTCCTTTAAACGCTATGAATTAAGTGTGATGACGAGAGAATGGAGAACCATTAGGACCTCTTAGACATTCCAACAACATTCTGCATGCTTAGGACATGATATTAATACAGCGCAGAGTGGAGGGTAACAGACATGTAATGTTTATCTATCTTGGTATAAAACTGATGCAAAAAAAAAGAAAAGACTGCATTGGAAAGAAGTGTCCAGAGAACTGTGTTGGGATGGCGGCATTATGGATCATGTTTGTCTGTCACATTTAAAATCTTTTTGCAAAAAAGGATACTTTCATGATAAAATGAATAGTAAATTTACACAAACTTTTCTTCATAATATAAACACATTGGGAGTTTTAAAAATAAATTGTGTATCAGCTTCCGAGATCTCAGAGGGGCTATTTTATATTTAGGGGCTTAATAGTGTAAGCAGCTGACAGATTCCATCTGTTTGGGGTTCTGTATAGAAGAAAAGGGACCTAGATTTCAGCTCTGAGTATATTCTTCTAGTCTAATTACCTCATGTAATAATTCATCCATATAAAATGTCCAATTCAGGAGCCAATGATGGATGCAGGAGGGCGGGGAGCACTAGAATTGTTTGTGGATACACAACTCTTTTTAAAAGTGACTTAACAATGGACATGTATGGTATGGAAACTTTATATCAAGAAAACTACTTTAAAAATGAGAGAGAAACCAAAGTTGACCATGGGTGAAGGATGAAGAGTTTTGCTGAGGGAACATTGAGTTTATGTTAATGCTGGTGGAATAATTCGGAAAGGGGAAGAAAGAATGGTTGGAGAACAGAGTATAACCAATGGCACTGCAATTACACATGTAGGAGGTGTTGAAATGGAGAATGCTTTGTTGTGTATATTTTTGCCACAATTAAAAAAATTACACTTAAAAATGTCCAAGTCAATAATGATATTATCTACTGGGGTTAACTCATGTAAACTGGTTCTCTATTATACAAGGAGAGCTGTACTTATCTAATATTTAAATGCCTGGCTTCTTTCACGTAACATGCTGCTGCTGAGGGTCAGACTTCCTGTCACACGTTATTGCTGTGGCTGTTGGTAGGGCATGGAGTCGGCTCTGACTCACAGCGACCGACCCCACGTACAACAGAACAAAGCACTGCCCTGTCCCGAGTCATCCTCACAATTTTTATGGTTGCGCTCATTGTGGTTGAAATTGCGCCAATACATCTCCCTGAGCCTCTTTTTACTATTGTTACATATAGCACTAGCTCATTCATTTTTCATTGCTGTATAGAATTCCATTGTGTGAATATATCAGAGTGTATTTATCCATTTGACTGTGGTGCACTTTTGTTTTATTTCTAGCTCTGGGCTAATACAAATAAAACCATTATAAGCATTCCTGAACATGTCCTTCTGTTCCATGTGTGCAAAACCACAAAGGGGAAAGATCAGCAAATCGGGCTACATTAAAGTAAAGGACTTCACTTCATTAAGAAGGATCAAGAGTAGAAAGGCGAGATACAGAAGAGGGAGTCACATGGAGAAGACATCTGCACATATCAAACCAGTGAAGAACTCTTATCCAAAATATCTAAAGAATTCTTACAAGCCAATATGAGAACAGGCAAGAACTTGGTAGGCAATTTGCAAACCAGGATATCCAAATGATCAATACATTTATCATGAACATGCAAACTGAAACGATGAGATACCACCAGATACCCCACAATGGCCCAAAGTTGAAGGACTGACAATATCAAGTATTGGCAGACCTGGAACAACTACAAGGAATTCTTGTGCTACAGAAAATTGTTTGGTACTGTTACTAAGGATGAACATATTCCTATTTTAAGCCTGTGATTCTACTCTCAGGAATGGACTCCACAGAAATAGGTGCCCATGTGAACCCAAATAGACATAGCAGAATGTTCACGATGGCGCTGCATTCAAACTATGGAGGTGCTGGGGGGGCATGCGCTGGCTACTAACTACAAAGCTCGGCAGTTCAAACCCACCACCTTTCTGTGGAGGAGGGATGGGGCCGCCTGCTCCCAGAGAGAGTTAGTCTCTCTGTTGTTGACTAAGCATCTTCTACCCAGAATCGCTATGAGTTGGAACCAGCTTCACAGCCTGTGAGTTTTGGGGGGGCAGTGGATTACTTTTGAAGCCAGAGTTTTAACAGTTATTTTAAAGATGTTTTTCAGCTTTAAAAATAGACAATATTTGTTGCCATACCAAGAAACACAGGGCTCACCCTTCCCCTTTAGGAGCAGAGCGGGTAAAGAAAACAGCATTACTACAAACAGTGACTAGAGACGACACAAAGCATGATGGGAGGAGAGGAAGAGGGACTAGAGGGACTGGCAAAGGTGTTAGAGATGAGGCGTGAATTGGTTTGAGAAGGATGAGCAAAAGTTAATATGGCAGAGAAGGGAGAGGAAGGCAGAAGATGCTTAGAAGAGACATGGCGTATCCCAGGAACCACAAGCTCTTCCATGTGCCTAGAATGCAGGCCGCCTGAGGAACGAGAGTGAGTTTGGTGAGGTGAGGACAAAAAGATCCAGCTGGTTCAGGAAACTGAAGGACCTATGGGGGGAGAAAAGTGAACCGTGTTTCACAGTGGGAAGATGGACTGGTTGACAAAAGTACCTTTTTAGTCTCTAAATAAATGGTAAACTCCTGGAAGGGAAGGATATCATTTTTCTTAAGATTTCTTCAAAACCCACAGCAATTATTCAATAGATGGAGGTGCGTGTTAACTGTCAGCATACTGCCATGTTAGCCTAGGATAGAGGTTCCTAATCCATACTGATTTCTGTATCATGATTGCTTTGTATTTGCTTGTTTCCTGTTACCCCAAACATCCAGGCCGCCAATCGCTGATGAGGGTTAAGGGCAGTGAGAATCAGAGGAGAAGGCCAAAAGCCTTGGAGAACGCTTCCAAGGAAATAAAACCGAAGTCCAACTGGGTAGCATTGTCTTCCTCACAGGCCTCCCCACTTCTTTTACATTTGAGGTCCCCAACTTAGCTACACATCAGAGTTTTCTGGGGGCTCTTCTTTAAAATACAGATTCCTGGGGTGGGGATGGGTGGGTGTCGACCCTAAGAGTTCTGGAACTTAATAGGCTGAAAGTAAGTAAAGGGGGTTGAGGAGTGGTATTTTAAAAAATATATCCAAAGATGTGAATTGATTTTCCAGAAACAGAAAACCTACTTTTTCAGACTGCTGTATTCATATTGTAGCCCCACCCCTCAAAGTTCAAAAGAGAACTGTTAGGTGTGTTAGGTTTTTTTGGTTTTGTTTTTTAAACCACTAATACAAAGCTTTTAGTGTATGCCCAATAGGTAGGGCAAAATACAGCCGGAACCCAAATTGGGTCTATGGGTGGAGTCAAATAAATGAAATAGGAAGAAACAAAAACAAAAACTTGGAATGTTCACGCTATGCAGCAAGTGATTACCCACCTGGCTCTGCGACTCCAGTTTAACTTCCTCAGGGGCAGGTTTGGTCAACGGGGTGGGGTTTGTGGTACAGGGATCCATCTGTTCTTTCTTTTCCACTTTCACCTTCACATCATCCAGGCTAAGGTTAGGAGTTGATCTTAAGTCTTTCTCATCTTTATCTAACAGGTAGCGGAGGAGCTGATGGTCTTTGGACTCTTTCTTCTTGGATGCATCCAGTTCTAGTTTTATGCTGGAGTTGCCCTGGACCTGTGCAGGCACTGACACCACCGTCGATGCACCCTCCTTTTTATCTGGCTCCACTGACAATGTGGTGATATCTGAGGGGCTCCCCTCCTGTAGGAGCCGGTGCAGAATTTTGTGCCGTTCTGTCAGCGAGCTATGGGAGGAGGGGCAAGTGCCACCTGTGGAGTTCCCAGAGGCAGAGCTGGAGGTGCCCGCGCAGGACAGTACATCTTTACAAGTAGGGTCCATGTCAGCGTGTCGTAGCTGCTGCTCTGCCGTGGTTGTCAACAGCTGCACTAGCTTGTGGCTGGTCTGCGAGTATTTACTGTCCCCCTCCGCGAGCCTGTCGCTGTTATGCAGAAGCCCTGAGTCCAGAGGCTTGACCTCACTGGAGCTGTTGCCAGACTGAATCATGTCATTTAAAATGGATGTGATCTCTTTGCTGTCTTTGGACTCCACTTTTGCTGGTTGCATATTTAACCTGCTGGGTGAATTCTGTGAGCTCATCTGCCTGAGCACTGGTGAGCTGGTGGAGAAGCCGACAGAGTGGTTGGGTCCTTCATTCAGGCTCTGTAACGATGTTACTGGGATGTTTGAGTAAGACCGGCTACTGTTATTACAGGCACTGTTTGTCATGCCAACGGGCGAGCTCAGTGTCGGGATATTAGGGGAAAACGAGTTGTTTGGCATCCTGGGCCGTGTTGCCAATCCAGAGCTAACCTGTCTTCTTGAAGACATGAACTGTGCTAGGCTTATTCCTGTACCTTCCATTGAAGAACTGTTGAGGTTTAAGGAGGGATTACTGCTCTGAGAACCGGCCTGTCCCTGGTTTAAGGCAACACTGGCTACAATCTGGTTTCCAGGTGAGCATCCAAAGCTCCCTTGGCTGTTGCTCGAATTACTCTGACCACTGCTATGAAGGTCTGAGCTCTGCTGGCGGTTTACTCTGGCGGAAACCATGCTGCTGTTGGATGGAGGCAATGTAGATGGGCGGGCCCCACCATGGGCTGGAGAGATGCTAGGATTGACCGAGGGGTTCACTCGGGGAATTGACATTCCAGCATTAGTGTCATCTTGAGGAGAAAGCCCGCTGTGCTCCCTAGAGAGGGGAAAGACATCAGTCAAACACCTTCATCTGTTTCCTTTAACATTGTTTTAAATGATGCATTCCATAAAACAAGATCATTAACTCATTAACACTGCCAACTATCTAAGCAACATCTGCACGGTTTAAATGAAGAAAAGATAGCGAACTGGTTAGTACTACTACAAAGTAGCAGTACCCGTTAAGAAATAGTGTTCATGGCCACTCCAATTTGATTATAGTTTTAGTAATACCTGGGAAAGAAAGCTTTGTTAGCCTTGAGGAAAAAATCCAATAGCCATTATATTCTTCTTTTTGAAAAGCAAAATACCCTAAACCCACTGCCACGGTATTGATGCAGACTCAGAGTTGGGCAGGGTGGAGCGGCTCCTGTCGGCTTTCCCAGACTGTAAAGTAACCGTGGTTGGTGGGAGCAAGCTGCGGACCTGGTGGTTTCCAGTCCAGCTCACACCCACTCACTGCCCGGGGGCCATTAACTAGCTTTAACTGCTCCTACAGTTAATACAAACTGTGGTCTAAAGAGAAGCTTCCCATACTTTTGTTTACAATGCATCTCCCCCACCCCACCCCGCCCCCACCACCACTCCCTTGTTACAGCTTTTAAGTATTTCAACTCCAAAGAGGAAGACTGGGTAAGGAAAATACAGTCATTGATGCAAAAATTCAAACAGGTGATATGCAGACATAGCAGATGTTCTGAAAGAGAAGTCACAATATGTTGGGGTGGAGGTGGGGGTGGGGTAAAAAATAACTGCTAATTTCACTCTCAGGCATACATCAAACTAACAACAGAAAGAAAAACACAAAACAAAACAAAACGAGAATACTGAATTCAATTTGTCACTGAATTCTGTATTCAAGTCCAGGACAACAGATTTGTGACTGGATTTTCATGGTGCAGTAAGCATAACGTCAGATGGGAAAAAGATGAAGTGAGGAAATGTCTTAGTTTTTCTTTAATGCTAAATTTTATATAGTTTCAAAGAAAAGATCTTGAAAACTTAAAAGAATAGTTCCATGGACTTGCCATGTATACTACTATAAAACACACTTAAATATAACTAGAAAATAATGACCATGACATTTAAAAAATCTCAAGTTGTCAGTTTAATGAATTGTGAGAAACTGTCGGCTTGAAATCAAGAGCCATCAAATTTGCCCTAATGAAAATAAATCGGTGTTCAAAATCAAAATCATAACAATGTTCACACTCTGAACGCTGAAAAGACCATAAACTAACAGATGGAAAGTTACCAATTTTCAGCCACCAATTTAGATTGACCCCACCCCTCTACCCCACCAGATTCAGCCTCAACTTCCCTATCTCCTTTTGTGAACTACAAATCTATGGAAAGGTAACAGAACTATAAAACTCAATATGGATATATTGCTTGTATCGTTCCAGTTGTACGCCTCATTTAGAATTTCTGCTTTCTAGCCATCAAGAGTACCCAAAAAAAGTTCTCTAAGAAGAGATATGTGAATTGACTTATTTCATAGGAAGCTCTCCAAATAAGTAGTACCTGTCGATGATATGAATTCCCATGATGAAAGGTTGCATGTCTGGACTTTGAGGGTAGCAAAGTTTACACTTGGTGTGGGCGCTAAGCATTGTCCCATCATTCAATATGAATCTATAGGATGGGCTGGAGGCAGTGCCACGAGTCATCACTGTTTCAAACGAAAAAGAAACCTAGTTAAAATCCGGACACTTTTTACTGGGGCAAAGGCAACTTACCAGGCTGTATTCTAACTGGAACCTCATTCTACATGCCTTCCCAGTCCTCAGACTCAAATAAGCAATAGTTCAGATAAAGCAGGTATTTGAGGGGAGAAAATGTGATTCCAGTGGAAATATATACCACTGATGAAAAGTTTAAATTTATTGCTACATATATAGGTGCCTCCTCACGTAAGTGATGATTATGAAGAAACCCCGCACAGGGAAAACAACAACTTTTCTGTGATTCTCTTTCAGTCATGAGACTGCTCTTCAAATTTATTAACTATCCACTAAGAATACCAGGAAGGGCTCGCTTACCCTTCTTGCTTTCCCAATGATCTCTACCATGCTTTTGTTAAAAACTGTTGTTTTGATTTTGCTGGCTCACTATTTCAGTAACAATTTTACAAAGATATAATTACCAAAACTGCAATAAGTTTTGATTAAAGAATGCTTCAGTTAAAATCCAAATTTAGCACTTCACTTAGGAGTATGAATCACTAAGGTCCCGTTTTACAAACTTAAAATAAATATATATATCAAATATCTTTTTAAAGTTTGAAGGTTTTGAGGTAATAAATAAATTATGATAAAGCCAATGATTACTGATATAAAGAACAACAACTGGACTATAGCACTCAATTCATTGTATAAACAACATAATTTACTTTGGTCTTAAAACTATTAACAGCAGACAAAATTATAACCATTTAGGGTGGCTGATTATTAAATAAGGAAAGACTTTATCAGACTATTAAGTAATAAAGTGTTATTGATGATTTAGTAATACCACAAAATTCTATTTTAAGGAAGATATAATAGGTAGATCCAGCTATAAGAAGGTTAAAATCATATTCACTAAAACACAAAAATGACAATTCTAATTTAACCTACAGTAAATGTTAGCTCTATTTTTTCAGATGTCTTACCAAAAGCCATCAATTACATTTTAAAAGACGTGACATATAAAGTGATCAATAATAATTTTGAAGTTCCATATTACTGGATATAGAGCGAAGACATGATCGATTTGTTTTATTGTCTTAGGTATATAGTGAATTTGATGAGGGCATAATCTAATATGAATCAATAGTATACATAAATCTGCCTAAGTACCAAAACCAGGACATAAACTTAATTGAAGGGATGAAGACTTACACCCACCTAACCACATTCCTTACCCCGCCAGCAACTTACGCTTAATCCCTGGTACACGAACTAAATACTACATGTGGAGAAATGTAGTATTTAATTAAATAGTAAATGAAAACAACTATTTTGATGGAAACTAGTAAATTTTGTAGGATATGTTTGTTGTAGCAAAACTTGAATACAATCCCAACTATTAATGTCTTTTAACAGTATATTTTGGAAAATACAATTAGCATGAGAAAGTAAAATAAATTGTAAACCTGGGATAATAAAGCTATATAGATATATAAAGAGCTAGATAAGAAACACAATATATTTTATGCTACTTTGTTGATATCATTTTATCGCTATCCTTACTACTAATTATTGCTCTTCCCAAACCCACTGCCATCAACTTGATTCCAACTCATAGTAACCCGCCATAAGGTTTCTGAGGCTGCATATCTTTATGGGAGAGGACAGCCTCATAAAGATGCCTGGTGGGTTGGAACCGCCAATCTTTCCATTAGCAGTGCAACAATGTTTCCCAGAGAGCATCCCCAGGGATTGTCCTTATCCTGCTGGAAAGCCCTCACTGGCTCTTCAACCTAGAGGTGCACTGCCCAACACGGAAGCCACCAACCATACTCGCTATTTTAAAAGGAATTTTATTGTGGTCCCAAAAGATATAAAACATTCGCCATTTAAACAATTTCTAAGTGTACAAATTCAACTAATTAAATTCACCACGGAGCAACCATCAACACTAACCCTGTCCATGTGGCGCTTTCAATTTAAAATAAAATATCACGTAAATCTCAGTTCCTCAGTCACATTAGCAGAATTTCAATTATTCAACAGCCACCTGTGGCTAGAGACCACCCTCTTGGACAGCAGAGGGACTTACATACTAATCTGTGCTCTCAATACCCACAAGGGAGGGACTGAAACATTTCCCACACTTCACTGAGCAGGAAATCCCATTTCTGGCAATAACTATTAAAACAAGTGGAGCCTAGGTTTATGCTTTCCAAAATTCCCTGATAAGGAAATTATCTTAGACTATGGACAGATTCAGCAGTGGTGTGGAGTCACCAGTTGAACAACCGCTGCAGATGAATCTTATGCAACACCGTCACCTGGACCTTTCTTTTTAAGTAATGGTTCAGAACTAAATAACCTGAGGGATTTTCCCAAACTATATACACTTTCCTTTCAGAATAAATTAATGCACAGAGAAAAAAACAAACAAACAAATAACCCAAATGGAGGCTAATTTTCTTCTTCCCTACATATTAATCACTGGGACGTTTTGCATAAAATGAGAGCTGCAGTGGCATAATTTGTTTTAATCTTTCCCCAGTGCCTCTAAGTCAAGTGAGGGCAAGACGCTGCAAATGTAGATTGTGCCTCTATCCATTCTTGAGCAGTTAGACCAATGGTTCTCAGGTTCCAGTATAAGCAAGCATTACCTTTGGAGCTTGTTAAAACTAGAGGTACCCTGAGATTTTAATTCAGCAGGCCAACATTTTAGACAAGTGTTTCTTAATGATTATACCTGGGGTAAGGTTAAATACTGCTGAAAATAAAATACAAAAGTTTTAAAAAATGCACTCAATCTATGAAAGTTTTTGGCAAGGTATCTAGAATCTCCAACCAAAACACTAGCGGCAGACCAGTGAGTGCTTTGGACAACTTAATTCTGTGAAAAATACAAGTTCACTTCTATTAAGTTAAAAAAAAAAAAAAAAGGTAAAATACAACTACATTAGGATTGACTGAGGAGGAAGTATTGGATTATATTGATGACTTCTTTATACTTTAGTTTACAGAAAACTTTTCTAGGGAGAACCGTGTTAAAGAATGTATATACCTTACACTGTGGCTTAGTCACATCTGTGGGGAGCCTGGGCATTTGGACAAGGAGGCTGTAGTCAAGACCAGCTCCGGCACTCGTGGAAATGTTAAAAGTAAATACAATGGAAAGTCTTCTAAATAGAGGCGTGAAGGCCCAACTTATAAAGCAAAAGCCACAACCAGAGGACCATTACTTGAGCACTTTCAGCAGGGAGTGGAGATGGAGTCCCAAACCTAAGTAAGCATAGGCCAAGTACCATTCCTAATCAAGGAAGTCACAATGTTTGTGGCCAGTGGGTGACATTAGTGGTTGCTAAACCATCTGCTCTTAGAGATCACCTAGACTTGTAAAAATACAGATGTCTGATCCTGGCCACTGAAATGGCATCTTTCAGGGTAGGCTCCCCGGACAGCCACAGTTCTGTTAAGAAGTTGTTCCAGACAGAACCAGGTTAATGGTGTGATTTATAAAGATGCCTGCCCGAGGTGGGGGTGGGGAAGTAAGTGATCTCAAATGTAATTAATGAAAAATTATCTTTAAACTTGGGAAATCTAATGTTATGAAAAATTGTTAAATGTAATGGTGATGAGATAAAGCACATTTTAACTTGTTTTTGAGGGGCAGCCATTGAAATGATCAAGTCAGAGAATAGGTTATATTGGGGAAGAAAGGGTACCACAATGACATGACTTTTTCTGATGTCACTTACATGCCATCTGTTGTGCATTGCTCTAAAGATTTCCTTTATGATCTTTGTTATTGTTTTGTGTCACTGACTTGCTTCTGGCTCCCAGTGCCCTCATGTGTTACAGAAGAGAACTGTTTCATGTCAGGTCGCTGTGCTTAGAATAGACTCAATGGCAGTGAGGGTTGCGCATCCTCTCTGTTGGAGCACAGCACCAGACCTTTTCTCATGCAGTGCTGCAGGGTGGCTGTGAACCATCAACCTTTTGGTTACCAGCCAAGCACAAACCATTGGCACCACTGAAGATGTCAGTTACATAATCTCCTGTCAACTTGCAAAGAGGTGGAGTCTAGCCTGTCAATCAGGCTATAACCAATGAGGCCTCCCTGTGGGCATGGCCTTCTCCTGAGGATTCTGGGAACTCCTATCTTCTTCCCTGGGAGGTGGGACACACACACACTGCTTGGTATTCCTGATGATAAGACACACGGAGCTACACTAGAACCTTGGAGCTGGAGGAGCCACATGGAGACCCACGCCAGTGCTGAGATGCTTATACCACCACTGGATCCACAAGACTTTCCACTCTGGCCTGTGATCTTCCTGCATTCAGCATCACTGCCTGTGTTTCATGAGTCTGAAGAGGAATTTATAGATTGGTTTCGTACATATGTACTTGATTGGGACTGATCTGGGATGTTTTCTCAATATTCGATTGCTCTTGTATATAAAGCATTTTCTTATACGCATGAGTGTCTATGAATTTGTTTCTCTAGTCAACCCAGACTAACACAGAGGGACTCACATGACACTATCTTAAAAATATACCACCTAATTCCATTATTTCTGAGTCAGAGAACTTTCTAGTCTTAATTCTCAAATAATTTTTCCTATCTTTCTTATAATACTATAGCTCCTTAAGTATATATACAAAAAATACTAGTCTTAAATTCTATTCCCACAGTACTTAGGAAGGCACGGCAGTTCTTTACAAATTGCCAGTATCATAGGGCATGTATATGACTTGAAACTACACTCTGAGTCAGGAGATGTGGTGCTGCCCCAGCCATGAAGTAAGCAGAGAGGACAGGGAACTCAGTCGACCCAGAAGCCCTGTGACATGCTTATTCAGCGGGGAATGGCTCTCAAGAGCCAGACAAAAGTATCACTCCCTCTCTGAAGTTGGCCCTGACTATCCAAATCAGAATTAATTTGTTTTCTTCTTTGGTGAGCCCATGTCACCGTGATCTTGAGAGTTGGTCAAATATCCTGCGATAATAAGCGCCTTGAAGGCAGTGACGTGCTCTGCCGTGGCATCTAACACAGTGTTCTATGTATATCAGGGACTTGATACATGCCTGCTGGATGGATGGATGGATGGATGGATGGGTGACCACCACATGACATCCTGGTCTTTAGAATGTGCATCCCAAATTGCAGGATCCACTCATGAATTACTTTGCTTACCCATTTCTTCCTTTCCCTCAACTGATAATTATAAAAGCTGTAATTTGGAGAAAATACTTATCAAGCCATAAGTTCTATATAAATAAGTCACTAATACCAAACAAGGTCAATTTAAATCATTGAGAGAAAAAGTTTACCTTCTTGAAACAACTGTCTGGCATATGATGGCTCTCTGCCCTGAGGCTGGAAGAAAGCATAAATGCACTTCCTCACCAAGTCTTCCCAGCCAGTTCGGCCAGCAGCTCTGAGGGAACTGGTATCAATAGAGATGATTTTACCTATAAAACAACAACGGTTCACATTTATGATAGCGTCGTGAGACAGCCTCCCATATTTTTTCTTTTCTTGATATAGTATTCACGTATCATACACTTCCACAGTTAAATTGCTTTTAAAAAGAGTTGTAGACACATCATCACAATTGGTTCTAATGCTCCCTCTCCCCTCCCATGTTCCATGTCCTCAAATCCAGTTACCCTCTCCACACCCACCCCACATCCCCGATAAATCATTGCATCCACTCCTTCTGGTTCACAAACTGGGAAACCAAACAGAAACAATAAAAACAAAAACAAAATGACCAAAATAAAGTAACAATATACAGATAAAAATAAAGAATAAGAAAGAAAATACCACCATCAATATTTAAAAAGTCAGAGAAGATATTTCTATCATGGAACAAGTTAGAAATACTTGATCCTGAAGCAAATACAGGCTGGGTCAAAAGGGAGGTCATATTTACACCATGGTTTGATTCATCATAATCAAGTTTATAATAATTCCTGTTTGATAGTAAAGCTGTTTGATTCCCTTGCCTGTGGCCAGAGGGGATCTGCTTGAGTACATAGTCTTCAAATGGATTTGGGGCTCCTACTGTCCTCTATAGCCTTCTACACATTGGGTGTTCACAATTTAAGCTCTGATACTTTTCCCTTAATCACATTTGGATTTTGTTATCATTGGCTTTGGATCACACAAGCTGGTGTGCTTCTTCAATGTGGACTTAGTTGACACCTCACTTAGATGACTGCTTGTTTGAATACAAGCCTTTTAGAATCCAGAGACTATTCCAATTGATAGCCGGGCCCCATCTGCTTTCTTCAACACTTTGTTGTAGCACCCTCATCTTCAGTAGTCTCGCGTATCAAGCAGCAGCCTTCTTATTTCAAAACAATTACATCTAAGTAATATTTTACCTATCCTCCCCAAATCCGCAATCAACAAAAAGCATTAAAAAGCATTGTTTATTACATATAATGGATTACAATACTGTTATGGGAATGAAAAATTGCCTTGGTTTTAGAGAATATTGTGCACTGGTATGTAAAAATTCAAATATTAAAGTCATACCATAGAAAATCTGAAGCAGTGTAGTGGTTACATGTTCGAAATTACCAGCTGCTTCAAGGGAGAAAGACAGGCCTTTCTACTCCCGTAAAGAATTACAGTCTCAGAAATCCATATGGGTGATTCTACCCTGTCCTATAGGGTTGCTATGAGTTGGCATTGACACAATGGAGTGAGTTTACAGAGATCGGAAACTACTGAGATGAATGAAAGTCAAAGTTCTCTGCCTTGATCTGGTACTCCTGCTCTCTCTGCTGCCGATTAGATCTTCATTGGGGAAGAAGAGGCAGAAACAAACTGCATACACTGCTCTGGTTCAAATGAGCTGCTAGGAACTAAGTGAACTGATCATGAGCTCTCTTGGGCTCGGGAGTACTCCACTTAAGAGTAAAGAAGGACTGAAGGAAACAAAGGGCAAATCAGGAAAAAAAATATAGTAAGCTCTGTTAGGCTTTACACTGAACATACGCTTTTATAAAATGTAGCGGTGATCTGATATTTCCTCAGCTCTTCAGGGGCTAACAAATCCATTTTATGATCAATCCAATCTGCTTTACAATCCCATATTGACACAAAATAACACAACTAAGAACTATATAATTTAAGAATTACGTTAGTAAAATGAAAAGCTGCAAACCTACTACCCAACCTCAGAACCTGAAAGGTAGCAGTACCATTCTGATGCATGTACACGTCTCCTGTCCCAGCCCCAAGTCCTTACATTTTCCTGTCAGAGGACGTCTAGATTGTTCCATTTCTCCGTCATCAATGCCACTATGCCCTTCATCTCCTGACCATGTGTGTGAGGGTCTCTCAAAGTTAAACCAGAAACACTGTCTAGTTATAGGTTAAGTGACTGTTCAACATTATTTCCATTTTAATTTTGTGTTTTTAAATTTGTATTTATTGATTGATTAATTAAATGATTAAATTTGTATTTAATCCATTTGTAATATTGAATTGCACTGATTCCCACAGACATGTGAACCATCTCTATGCATTCAATAGAGGTTTATAAGACTTACTGTTCTTTTAAAACCCACTCCATCAATTGGTCTGGTCAGGGTTCTTAATTTCTAATTAGCAGGTGAAAAAAAATGGTCTCTCATAGCAGTCTCAACTTACATTTCCCTAATCTTTAATGAAGTTTGAGTATTTTTAGCGTTTCCGTGCCACTCATAATTCCTCCTCAGGAAATGAAAGGTTTTGTCTTTCCCCCACCTTCGCTTTTCTTGCATAATCTCTTTAAATCTTCTATATTTGTTTATGCCTCCACATGTTAATGAACCCTTTCTTCCCTCTCTTCCTTATATATGGGTACTTGGTTTGCTTAGAAATAAAGACTGTATTAGGCTCTTGAACTTAGATTCTTAAATTTGATGCACCCCAGTCTGAGGAGTTTGTTGCCTCAGTGCTGGCTTAAAAGTACAAGGTAAAGAAAAGAAACTGAAATTCAAAGAAGGGATTTTGCTATTTAAGAACAGTTTGGGTGAATAAGAAAATGTGGTAAAGAAAGCTGATGGTGCCCAGCTATCAAAAGATATAGCGTTGGGGGTCATAAAAGCTTGAAGGTAAACAAGCGGCCATCTAGCTTAGAAGCAACAAAGCCCACATGGAAGAACACACCAACCTGTGTGATCATGAGGTGCCACAGGGATCAGTTATCAGACATCAAAGAACAAAAAATATCACTGTTTGCTCACCTCCATGATATGATTGCTGAAGACAAATGAGTGCTTAAGTAAATGTGGTGAAGAAAGCTGATGGGGCCCGGCTATCAAAAAGTATAGCGTCTGGGGTCTCAAAGGCTTGAAGGTAAACAAGCAGTTCTCTAGCTCAGAAGCAACAAAGCCCACATGGAAGAAGCATACCAGCCTGTGCGATCACAAGGTGTTGATGGGATCAGGTATAAGGCATCATCAGAACAAAAAATCTTACCATAGTGAATGATGGGGGGAGTGCGGAGTGGAGACCCAAAGCCTATTTGCGGGCCACTGGAGATCCCCTTGCAGAGGGGTCTCAGGGAGGAGATGAGCCAGTTAGGGTGCGATGTATCAAGGATAAAAAATACAACTTTCCTCTAGTTCCTAAATGCTTCCTCCCACCCCACCCCTATCATGGTCCGAATTCTACCTTGCAAGTCTGGCTAGACCAGAGGATGTGCACTGGTACAGATAGGAACTGGAAACACAGGGAATCCAGGGCAGATGATCTCTTCAGGACCAGTGGTCTGAGTGGTGATACTGGGAGTGTAGAGGGAGAGTGGGTTGGAAAGGGGGAATCGATTACAAGGATCTACATGTGACCTCCTCCCTGGGGGACGGAAAATAGAAATGTGGGTGAAAGGAGATTTCAGACTGAGCAAGATATGACAAAATAATAATTTGTAAATTATCAAGGGATCGTGAAGGAGTGGGAAGGGGGGGCGGCGGGGGGGATGAGGACTTGATGCAGGGGGCTTAAGTGGAGAGCAAATGTTTTGAGAATGATGAGGGCAATGAATGTACAAATGTGCTTTACACAATTGATGTATGCATGGATTGTGATAACAGTTGTATGAACCCCTAATGATTTTTTTAAAAGTAGAAAAAAAAAGAACAGTTTGGAGAAGGTCTGTGAACACTGTGACTGAAATTATAGACAAGTTTAGATTTTCTTAGAATTTTCATTCATCTCTTAAGTAAAAAATCAAGAAGAGTTTGGTGTAGCAGGGACTTAATGCAACATAAGGTTTCATAGTAAAAATATTGTTGATAGGCAGAGACCAAGGGAAGGTGTGTGCGTGTGTGTGTTTTCACATGTTCAAGAGAACGAGCGCTTTGAGCAATGGTACCAAATGGTCACGCAGTGACTTAAAGAGAATCATGGATTTTGGTTCATTTAGAATGCCCTTGCTTACTAGAGATAAGTTTAAACAACCAACCAGGCAAAAAACATTGTTGAACATTTCCTTGTAAAGGATAGTCTATATTTTAAAAGAACATGGGTCATTCTTGGAGAGTTAAGAAGTACTACTAAAATTTAAGAAATTAAATGTTTCTTTACTATAACTAGCCTATTATTTTTAATCTCAGTCAATTCTATGATAAGAGTAAAATGTGAGTTTTACACTTTACGCATACTTTATATTTCTCTGGTCTCTTCTGTATAATACATGTGTACAGTATAGTGATGCCTTTTATAGTGCTTCAGTGGGAGGTAATGCAATAGTCTCTATGATGCTCTCAAGATTTCAGTTCTCAACACTTAGCTACACGATCTTGGCCAAAGCACTATGTCTTCACTGGGAAAGGAACAGACTGCTCACTGGAAGGTAGGTGGCTCAAATCCACCAGTTGTTCCTTGGAAAATGGTTTGCGTCTCTAAAGCTTTACGGCCATCCGGAGCAGCTCTCTGCTGTGTCTCATCAATAGAGTCTGAACTGACGCGGTGGCGGGAGATTTTGTCTTGCTGCTATTAGGTGAAACAGAGTCAATTCTGACTCACAGCAATCCAGTGTCACAAGAGTGGCCCAAGAGGGCTTCCTAGGGGCTAATTTTAACTAAGCAGAGTGGCAATCTTTTTTCCCCCAGGGACACTGGGTAGGTTTGAACTACCAGGTTTTGTCCCGTGGGTCCCCCCACCCCCCCACCGGTTAGCAGGTGAGAGCTTAACCACATTTGGTTTTCAGTGAGGGTTTATTGACGTTTTCAGTGCTGCTCATTGGTGGGAGAGGAAAAGGAACACAACCATGGTAGACTTAAGAAGGGAGTAAAGAAAGGTACCGACACTGTCTCTCCATGTGCCTGGCCATGCCATGCTCTGCACCCTCAGCCAGGAGTGCTCATTCTGGCACCAGGGCCCTTCCTCATTGCCCCTCCTCCAAGAGACCCACTTTGCATGGCTGGCACAACCCCTTCCTTCAGGGTTTGAGAGTTTCTCCAACCAGTTGATTTTAAAACAGGACCTCCCTATTCGCTTCCCACACACCATCTTATCCCTTTTCCATCTTAAAACATTTCTCATTTGAAAATGATATCTGTGCTTTTTTTTTTCTTCCCAACATTGCATACCCTGAACAATCAGACACAGCAGCAGACACTTCACGGTACTCAACCAATGGGTTCTGAGTCAGTGTAAGAAACAGATGGAAAGAAAAAGGACTCAAAGACCTTTCAGCATACGATATAGTTGCCATATTCAGACCCACTTACAGGTAAATATATCTATATCTACAGTGCCAAATTTCTTTGAACATTTTCTTCTGTGATCATGAATGATTATAAAAAATTCTTCTCCCCAGCATTCTTCCCATTATAGTGACTATGTATCTAATACACACATTACCAAGACCACTGTTGAAAAGCATTTTCAGAAGATCAGTGAGCAGAAGCCAAATATCACAGAAAAGGGGGACACGGAATTTGGGGGATACACAGCACTGAGGACACAGTCACAGGGCTGGCACTTGTGGAGCGTTCTGAACTTGACGGTGAGTACCTGTAGTATCTTGTTTGGTCATGAAGGATTCCACGCCCGTGAGAGCTGGAGGCCGAGGTAACCGCCGCGCAATGCAAATCAAACAGGACTGGAAATCTGCCCAAAACAAGAAAGGGAAAGGGGTGGAAACAGCTGTACCCACCACTTGCCATAGTAGTTTCTGTGAAAATATTATGTTACTGGACCTGATGTAATACTGAAACCACTCTAGTAATGTATTACCAGACAAACAAAAATCCTAGCAACCAACAAAGGGTAGCTCTAGGTAGAGAGCTAGCTGTTATCCTTCCAATGTTCTATTGTCAAACTTTGTCTTTCATACAGCTTGCTGCACAAAGTATCACACAGCTAAAGACGAGCCTTAAACACATATGAAACTGATGTGGCATGTGTGTTTTATACAAGGGCCCAGTTGATTATGATTCCCATTCCCTGAAGAGGCGCACTAATACATGGCCTTTTATACATCTCCCATCTACCCTGGCTCTGCAGCTCCAAATTTAAGGGTGTTCCTAAACGTGGCTTAGTCTAAGTTTACCCAGAAAACTCGCTTACTGTTACATTTTAAACCACCCCACATTGATGCCATATTCCTTTTAGAGCTTCCATGATCTGTTTTCATCTGTTTATAAGCATTCTTCCCAAAATTACTTTGTATGTCCTTAAAAATGCCAGCTTAAATCTCAATTAGACTTCTCTATACCCTGAACTTGAAAATTCCAAAAATCGAGGCTGCTCCAAAAAAGGAACCTTCCTCCTTCCCTACCGCGGGAAGATGCACTCCGCTGCATCTCTCATACCCAGGCACTCTAGGCATCGAGTTGGTAAAATCTGACACTTGCACTGGGAATGCCACTTCAAAACTGAAAATTTGGGAGCATAGTAAGAGAAATGATTCCAGATGTTAGAAAAAGGTTTTGGCTTAAAAAGTAAGAAAGATGCATAGCAGTTTGAAGATCCACTGTGATATATAGTGGTTAAACATGCCATCAAAAGAAAAGCCTGTATTCAATTACTTCCTTGCTCCTTAAGCCATGTAATAAGCAATAAAACACTTTAAAGTGACCCTGTGCTTTACCTTCTCCATCCTCTTGGATTGATTTTGGCTGAGACACAGTGAAACACTGCATTACTTCATACCGCTGGCAAGCTTCTTGGTTCTCGGTGCCTGGCTCGTCCGGAGGGTGAATTAGCATCCTGCAGTTAAAGGTATGGCTGTTCCTTCGGGTTGCCTCCTGAGGCCAAGGAACTCCATTTACTGTGGGAAGAAAATTGAGTATGTGCCCGTGAATGAGGTGGAAAAGTACAGAGTATGATGTATCAGAGGCATACTTTAAGCCATCGACTTAAGGAGCTACTCAGCTGAAAACACAGCCAGACCTGCTCATCAGTGTCACATTATCCTGAGGAAAGCGAACTTCTTTCTTAAATGTGAACATCTCCCAAATGGAAAACTGTAGGACCTGCCCTCGAGTCCACTCTGACTCATAGTGACTCAGCTTTTTCTGAGGATGTAACTCTTTACAGGAGCAGACAGTCTCATCCTTCTCCAACAGAGTGGCTGCTGGGTTTGAACGGCTGACCTTGTGGCAAGCTGCCCAAGGCTTACCTGGCAGTGCCACCAGGGCTCCTGGAAAACGGTAAGATCACCAAGAAAGTGTATAGGGTTTTCAGAGGTGAAGCATTCCTCATCGCCAAATCCACTGCCAACAAGTCGATTTCAACTCAGGGTAACTCTACAGGGCAGAGCAGGACTGCCCCACAGGCTTCCCAGGGCTGTGCTCTTGACAGACACTGACCACCACACTTTGCTCACAGAGAAGTTGCTGGGTTTCAACTGCTGAGTTTTGCTTGCTAGATGAGTGCTTTCACCACAGTACCACCAGGGCTGGCTTAATGCATCTCTTACAAAATACCCAAATTCATTAACAGTCTGTATCAACAGTGAGAGGCAAAGAATTGAAAAAGCAGTAGCTAACTATGCCCAGAATCTTGCAGTAGTGACTCCATGAGCTTTCCCCTTGGTTTACTGGGGCACTTGAGTAATAAAAAGACAGTGGAAAACCCCAAAGGCACGCTGTTAAAGCAGGGCTTTTCACTTGACAGTCATGGATTCTGAAGAGTGGGCTCCAGGAGCTCTGTAACCATGTGCAAAACTGGGTGCACGGGTGTGTTGTAGTGGGGGAGAGGACTCAGTTTCTAAAGGAGACTGTGGCTCAAACATTTTTCTAGACAAGGTAGGTGACCATCTTTGTCTCTTATAACCATATTTTTTTTCTTGCTCTACTTTATAGTTTCTAAAGGACCATGCCTTCAATATTGTAGCTAATTGCTAAATTATTACATTAAAAAAATTGCTAAAACAATTGTTACTGATGGAGTTAGTTTAAGAAAATTGAGTTCCAGTCTAGAAAATGATTTCAAGTGAAGAACCACTGTGGTGGGGTGTGACTGGCCTGTCTGTCACACACTGTCATGTTCAGATCCTGATGGAAGTCAGGGTTTTATGGCTACAATTCCAGTTGGCTTCTTCCCTTATAGTTTCCTCTGATCTTCCTTCCTTTTTTCCATATCAGTGCTCTGGAACTGGTGGAGGAAGAACCTCATAAGGAAACGAACCTACATCGGAGGGAGGAGTCTTATGTTCTGTTGTGAGCTACCTGGAAGGTTTTTATCTCCGACTTCCAACTGTCTGGTCTTTAAAAGAAAAGTTAGTCACTCCATCTCTAAAGACACTTACACTTTAAAATTCTACAACAAAACATCTAAGAGTCCATGACGTTATAATTCAAGTGTTAAACTAGTGATTTTTAAGTAAAACAATAATTTTCAATTGCTATGGACATAATAGTATTTTTTTTCTTGTAAAGAGGAAATAAGGTTTCCATTTCCTTAAGGAAATGAGGTAGAAAATGAAGGGCTCAGTTAAAGTCATGCGTCAGTAGTCCTTAAACTTGGCAGAAAGACAGAACAAAATAGTTATAGGAGTGCAGGCCTAAGAAAGAAATTTAAGTATTATCTACAGTGACACACTAGGGGCAACTTACATTGGTCAACGTCCTGCAGACCTGCCTCAGCTCCTACACTAAATGGTGGCCGAGACCTCCTTACTTTCCAACAGTTCATTACACAGGGTCTGTGTAACACATTGCTGTAGGATAGATAGCTTGATCTGATGTAGAGTTAATTGAAAAAAGAAATGCACCCACATCTGTGGTTAGGTTTCAAATACCAGGTGGTTATATAGCAAGTGGTGTGAAGCAAAAATGGAAGATGACCACATTAGATTACAAACCAAGCATGACTACACATCATTACAGAACTACCAGATTATATCATTCTATAAGTGCCAAATGACATCATCATATAACTGCTAAACCACTAAGAATCATGGTCCAGCCCATTTGACACATAACATTAACCATGACAGCCTGTGGTACTGTGCCCTTGCACCTCAGCATTTGTCCTGAATGTGTAAAATAGTCAGATTTTTTTACAACGGTTATAAATGCAAAATGTTGGATAAAGTAGCCAATAAGTAAGGAGAAACCTCCCTGGGGGACGGACAACAGAAAAGTGGGTGAAGGGAGACATGGGACAGGGCAAGATATGACAAAATAATAATTTATAAATTATCAAGGGCTCATGAGGGAGGGGGAAGCAGGGAGGGAGGGGAAAAATGAGGACCTAATGCCGGGTGGTTAAGTGGAGAGGAAATGGTTTGAGAATGATGAGGGCAATGAATGTACAAATGTGCTTTACACAATTGATGTATGTATGGATTGTGATAAGAGTTGTATGAGCCCCTAATAAAACAATTAAATAAATTTTTTTTTAAAGTAGGAGAAAGTGTAATGAGAAAATATAGCAAATAAAAAAATCTGGAATGGAACTGGAATCAAATTGAAAACTAAGGAAGTTTCCTATTTTCCAATGAAATCTATAATGGCTAGTAAACTCATACCTATCCCAAAGGAGATATGAGGAAACCATTGACTAAGAGTAATTAAATTAGTACTTTAGCCTTGAAAACTTCATAGAAGGGAATAAAGGGCTGCTGCTGGTCTAGAGAAGCCTTTAAGACAATCAGTGAGACTCCATTAACCCAGGCCTGCCCACGGTACTTGGCTTGATGAAGGAAAGTTTCCTAAGGGGGTTGTTAAGTGTCTAGTTGGTTCCAACTCGATTGAACGTACATGCAACAGAAAGAAACACTGCCTGATCTCACCCCATCTTCACAATAGTTATGTTTGAGCCATCAATCCGTTTCATCAAGGTTCTTCCTCTTTGTTGCCGCCCTTCCCCTCGACCATGCATGCCTGTCCTTTTCCAGGTCTCTTCTAAGAACAAGTCCAAAGTCTGTGAGACAGCCATCATTCCTTCTAAGGAGCATACTGGTTGTCCTGCCTCCAAGACACAGTGTGCTTTACTGGCAGGCCAAGGTGCTTTCCCTATATTTTACCAACACCGTAATTCAGCACATAGTTTTTCTGCAGTCTTCTTATTCATTGTCCAGCTTTCATATGCACATGAAGCAACTGAGTATACCAGGATTAACTGATTTCTTTGGCAGTGAGCAAATGTTCCAATTGTTCTGGGAAACCCCAATGGAATCTACTTAACTCTAAAACATTAATTTTCTATAGATATGTAATGTAACCCTTTCTTCTTTACTTTTTTTTCTTCCTTTTATTATTGAATTGGGTGTTGGGAAAACACAGGTTTGTGTCTGTTGCAAATGGAATAAAACTTGAAAACAGAGCATTTCAAGCAGAAGCTTCTTGGGGCATGGAAGCTAACTTCTCTGCCTTTCCGTGGGTTACATGGTTGTGACACGAAACAGAGGAAGAGGACTAAGCAATGCTCCTACCAGCTGATATTCCTTCATTTCCATTTACGTCTGAGGCTACCACACAGAGAAACTAGCAGCCAAAAGCAAAATGGAACAAATCTAAATGAAGTTGGCAATTCATTGCCAACCAACCAAATTACTCCTCCCACAATCTTGGGAGTAACTCTGGAGTGGATAAACTGATAAACTGGACCATGCTAACTTGTTTATGGTGCTGAGGTCTGTCTGAGTCAATCCATGGGTTAACTAAGTATTGAGTTAGCTTTTCTTTTTTCTTTTTCTTGGGGGGTGGGGGAGTGTGTGTGGTAAAATATACTGGACTGTACGTATATAGTCCAAAATAAGTAGTCAACTTGAGAGATTATATTGCTAACAAAATGTTATTACACTTTTTTTCTAATTACGTTATAATTTTCCCCTAAAACTTCATTTTTCTAATTTGAAAAAAATCTAGTTAGCGATCTTACAAACAAATCCATTTTATTACCTTAGACTCCTAAGAGGGGGCTCCAAAAAGTCTGTGGAAAAACTCCATTCTCTTTTAATTCCATTTTCTACCAACTTTTGAAGCCCTCACCATATGTCACAAATCCCAATTTATGTAAGAAAAAGGTGATAAAGTATACGAGGGGGTACCCCAAAAGCCTTGGGATTGCACTGGGCAGAGATTTTAGAGTAAGTACTTTTGCTGCTAGGTGAGCACTGAACATCCCGCTCTAGTGCACCCAGTGGGGTTGCCTGGGGAGGTTCCCGGGCCACAGTGAATTTTCTCATAAAAATGAGTTAGCTAAAACCTAGTTCTTTTGTGGTGGTCGATGGTAAAAGAACAGCGTGCAGCTATGAAATTTTGTTTCCTGCTCGGGGAAAAAATGCTGTAGAAACTGTTGTGAAGTTGAACACAGCTTACAAGGACAGCGCTATGGGACAACTCAAAGTGTATGAGTGGTTTTCTCATCTCAGAAAACTTGAATTGTCGATTGAAACCTCATTCTGGACATCTGTGAACTTCCTGAATGGATGAAAATGTCAACTCGTAGTGCATTTTGAGTTCATTCCACCAGGTCAGACTGTTTCTCAAGCTTTCTATTTAGAGGTTCTGAAAAAGATTGCATGACATTGTGCAGCAATATACGCCTGTTCTGTGGCACACGAGGGGCTGGTTTTGCCACCACAACCAGCAATCTCAGTGAGCCAGTTTTTGCCAAATACCAGCATGCCTCTCTTGCCTCAGGCATCTTACTCACCCGACCTCACTCTGTGTGACTTTTTTTTGTTTCCGTGAACAAAGAGGCACATGAAAGGACAGTGATTTGAGGATGGAGAAGAGGTGAAGAAAAAAAACAAAGGAGGTGCTGTCAGCCATCCAAACAGATGAATTTGAAAAATGTTTCCAAGAATGGTATTGCAGATTTGACAAATGCATTAAATGTAATGGAGAGTACTTTTGAAGGTGATAAGGTTGTTTTGTTAAAAAGAATAATAATAATTACAAAGATTTCGGGGGGGGAAATTGGGGGGGGGTACCCCCTTGTATATTTTAAGAGGATTCTGAGCTGGAATTCCCAGGATGCAATGAAAAAAGTAGAGTGCTCCCCAAACCAGTCCGATCATGAACAGTAGTAGGTACTCATGGCCCACAGGAGACGCTTCCTCTTCCATGGTGACTTGAAAGCTTCCCATTAGTGCAGGCCGTGGAGCTGAAGCGGCTCTACTTTTGAACACATTTACCTCAAAATAGCTCCTTTGCTCATTTGAAAAAATACATGCCACTCCTTAACAGCAGACAGACCAAGCAGAATAGTTTCTCTCACATCAACTTTGTAGGAAAAAAAAAAATAAATAAAAAGCAGGACTTGGAACTCTGGCAACATGTTATCAACTGAAGTTACAAGTATCTGGTGACCTTTCCCCTTTGGGTTACTCCTTGTTTTCTGGCTCCTGTTCTCTTCCACACTTTTACAAAGTATATACCATCCTGAAGTGTTTTACCATAAATGTTCAAATTACTCCAAATGGTAACTCAATTCATACCTAGAAAGCACTCATGCAAACACAAGCCCTCGGACTTATACACGGTGCAGACACTGTTCTATTCCCTTCCACGTCAACAAATTCAGTATTGTTATACTTTCAGGCTGGGTTAAAGGGGCCAGGAGGTCATCCTATCAGGAAAAGGGTTCAAATTGAGATGCCAAAATTGGTTTCTCCATCCTTGCCCAGCTTGTCTGTTTCACAGGAAACAATCAGCAGAGGACCTCAAATGACAACCTGGTGGGTTTAATTAAGACATTCCTTGGAATGAGCAGAAACTACATAGAAAAAAAAATCTTATATACATTATGCAGTTATATATTACAATAAACCATGCAGTACTATCTATTAAGTGTGGTAGTAATTAATACTGAATATGATTTACTTAATATATAAGGAGAAGCTATACAGTGGTAGTATTCATTTAAAAAACAAACTTCTTTTTACCTAGTGATTTTGGTAGCAGATTCTTCACAAATTCTGCATGATCTCCCACGTGCAGTATGCTGTAGACGCTAGTATTCATTAACTCTTCCTGATTGTAACCCAAGTAGCTGGTCACATTCTCTGACACAAACACAATTCTCCCTTCACAGTTCACAACAAAGAAAAATCCATCCAAAGCCTGCAAAGGCCAAAAACAAAGATTAAGAGTGGGGAGGTTAGAAGATCAAAAGAAAAATAGTGACAGCACATACACTTCTCTATTTAAAAAGAGCTTAGTGCCCAAAGAGCATCATTAAAAAAAAAAAAACAAACAAAAAAAACCCTCAGAAGGCAGGAATGGGTGGGGGAACCCAGGGAGCGAATTGGCAGAATACTGTTATACTCAGGCGATTACATCTATTATCACGAAACCTGAATGCATATAAATTGCTGAATGGGAAAAGAATTTGCTCTGTGTAAACTGTAAACTTTCACCCAGACTACAGTGGGCCAAAAAAAAAAAGTTGAGTCATGTAGGGTGGTTGAGGTTTTTAGATATTATATACATGGATGTTTCAAGTAAGCATGAATGAATAATATGAACCTCCTTTTTCCTTAGGAATAAATTTTATGGTAGCAAGTGTGAAGTAAATGATTGTCCCGTCCACTAAAAATGTTCCTCAATTATGTAGGTTAAGACTCAAGGAACTTCTTGCTTTACCTGACTTTAAAACCTAGTACAGAGTCACAGTGGTCAAGACAGCGTGGTACTGGTATAATGACAGATATTCAGACCAATGGAAAAGAACAGAAAACACAGAAATAAAACCAGCAGCATATAGTCAACTGATCTTTGATAGGCGCCCAAAAAACTTCAAATGGCAAGCGGATACCCTCTTCAACAAGTGGTGCTGGAAAAAGTGGATATCCCGTATATACTCAAGTATAAGCTGACCCGAAAATCAGTTGAGGTACCTAATTTTACCACAAAAACTGCATTAAAAAAAAAAAAGGGAAAAAAATTGCACTAAAAATGTGCTGAAAAACTCGGCTTATACATGAGGATATTCAGTATATGCAGAAAAAGGAAGCAAGATCCTTACCACATCCCATGCACAAGAACAAACTCAAGGTAGATCATAGATCTTGAAGTACAACCCTAGACTGTTAGGGCCATCAATGAAGGGATTGGACAAACATGAGAACCTTGGCACAGGGAATATGTAGGCTAACAAAGCTGAAATTGACAAGTGGGATATACTAAGGATAAAACACCAGTGTGCATAGAAAGACTTTGCCAAGAAATTAATGAGAGCCCACAGACTGGGAGAAGACCTTCAGCAATGACACGAGACGAAGGGTTTATTACTAAAATATACAATACCCTACTAGCCTGCAATAAGAAGAAAGCAGAGAGCCCTCTGAGGAGGCCAGAAGTTTCACCAGGGAGGACACCCAAATGCCCAATAAACATATGAGAAAATGTTCACAATCATTAGCTATCAGAAAAATGCAACTTAAAACAACTATGATATACCACCTGCCACCCCTGAGGCTAGCCAAGTTCAAAAAATCAGAGAGCAGCAAATGTTGAGGGGATGTGGTGAGATAGGAATGCTCATCCATTACTGGTGGTCTCGTACAGCCACCGTGCAGAGCGATCTGGCGATATATACAGCAAATGGAGATTAAGCTACCCAACAACCCAGCAATACCCTATCGAGCATATACCCAGAAGTAAGAAATAGACTGCAACCAGTCACGTGCACTCTAATGTTCACTGTGGCAAAAAGGGGGAAAAGAGGAGCTGTTACCAAGGGCTCAAGCATAAAGAAAAAAAAAGGTTTTGGAAATTATGATGGTAACAAATGTACACATGTGCTTGATAAAATTGATGTATGGATTGTTAAAAGAGCTGTAAGAGCCCCCCCAATGAAATGATTTATCTACATAAATAAATGAAACACAGAAGACATGGGTGCTATAGCAAAAGTGTGGTGAAGGAATGAGTTGGTGTCCGGCGATCAGACAGAACAGCATCTTGGGTCTTAAAGACTTGTTTCCAAACAAGCAGCCATCTGAGTGAGAGGTCAACCAAGTCCACATTGAGGAAGCACATCAACACCCGTGACCCAAGGATTGTAAATTACAGAATCAAAAGCTGAAGGAGGGAATGGTATCAGAGCCTAAAATGAGAGATTCTGGTTTGCAGAAGGCTATGGATGACAGTGGAAGCCCAGACACATTTGTGAGATCTACACAGGGAATAAGCCTCCAGTGATTTCGCTCTATCCATAATGGAGAGATGGATATAAACTGGTTACTAAACAGAGTATTGGAGAGATGACCACTGGAGATCAAAATGATAAACCTAACATGAACAATTAAAATCTGTCACTTGATCCCACCTCTTATACATGTTGGGTTTGATGTGGTTTTCAATATTTTTGTTTTCATATTTGGATTTATCTCTGATGTATTTTGTCATTGTGGGAAAACCTCTGGAATTTTGTTATATGGTTTTGCTGTTTTTCGGTGTATGAAACCCTGGATTGATGAGCCTACTGAGCTAACAAGCAGAATAAAGGTTCTCATATCAAGGGCATAAAAAGGAGCACATATCAAGGAGTCCAAGAAGGAAGAAAGTGTTCTAAAACTGAATGTGGTAGCAATTGCACAATACCGCTTGATATGATCTAACTATGGAATGATAGGGTATTCGTATTAGCTCCCAATAAAATGATTTTGGAGAAACAAAAGAAAATGACTCAAGGAACTTGTAGTGTAAACAGAGAGAAAGAGAGATAAACATAATATGATACGTGTGAGGTGAAATTTCAGAGATACTTCATTATAACACAAACAAAATATTCCATGAGCATATAGAAGGCTATCTAGCATGAGTTATGGTTGTGAGAGGCAAAGAAAGACTCTGCACAGATCCCTCCTCCCTTCACAGCCTGAGTTAGAAAGAAGAGCAGAGAAGACAAGTGGTGGGCAGTATAAGCTGAAGGGGGCACGTGACAAAGGAAGGAAACAAATAAGCAGTGTGGAGTTGCTGGAGTACTAGATTCAAGGCAGGCCTATGCCAGGAAATAAGTCAAGAGAGGCGGACAGGAGCCAAATCACAGTGGTCTCCTACACAGTGAGACGGAGACTCATGTGTCCCACGGGGCACATAAGATCCATTGCCATGCAGAAAAAAACACCAGGATCTCCATTTATATTGTAATCGGAACCATGAGGGAGGAATTAGGCTTAACGGGCATACTGACACCCTGGAGCCTCACTCGACCAGATAGCCACATATCACAAGCCACATGGCATCCTGAGGGAAGATGCAGAATGCAAATGATAACAGTGGTATTTACTAGTAAGTCTTCAGTTTCTTGAAATGTACTTGCTGGACAATGTATCAATAAGTAATAAAAAATAAGACCGTGAAAAAAAGACAGCATTTAAAGAAACTTAAACAAAATGTGAGATGATCATAAAAGTCCTTCATCAAGGATGCCTAGTGGGGTTCAATCAAGGGCAATGGAGCAGCGAGGGAATACTAAACCTGAATGAAGGCTGAATATGATGGTGGGACAAAAGGAAAGTAAAAAGAAATAGAGGAAAGAACCAGGAGGCAAAGGACATTTTATAGAGGCCTAAATACAGGCAGCATGTACATATGCAAACATATATACATATACATATATATATATATATATATATATATATATATATAATCTTTGTTTCCAGTGTAGAATCCATGTCTGTCACTGTACTGAGCTCCTTACAGAGACTTGTGTAAAACACCCTCCCT